GTGGTGATGAAGTGAATCTAAGGCATAAGGCTCCACGGTTGTATACACAGCCTAATTACATACATTAGCCCTGCAACTAACAATTATTTTAGAAATCGATTAATCTGTCGATTGTGTTTTCGATTAATAATCGCATAGTAAAAAGTTCCTGAAAGAAGACTTTTTACGAAATGAAACCTGGTGAAACTTTTCATCTTGAGGGGTTCTGGATAGTACGGAAGAGGATTAGGGCCACTGAAAAAAAAAAAAAGTAAACTGATTTTTAAATTTTATTTCAGTTTAACATGGGAAAAAAGTCAGAATTCTGAGATTAAAGTCAGAATTCTTAGAAAAAAGTCAGAATTCTGAGAAAAAGTCAGAATTCTGAGATTAAAGTCAGAATTCTGAGAAAAAAGTCAGAATTCTGAGAAAAAGTCAGAATTCTGACTTTTTTCCCATACTATACTGAAATAAAATAAAAAAATCAGTTAACTTTTTTTTTTTTCAGTGGCCCTAATCCTCTTCCGTAGGATAGAGCATAAAACAAAATTTTTTACATATATTTTTCACAATCTAGAATGGGTCGCTCTGTCAGCTAAAGGAATGTTTTAGAGTCTCTATACTCCATTTAACTAGTGACTGATTACTAAATTAGTTGACAATTATTTCAATAATAGATTAATCATGATTAATCTGATTAATTCTTTCAGCCCTAATCTACAAAAAATCAGATTTTGAACTTCTTGTTTACATACTATATTTACTCACCTCCTTTTAACTAAAGAAAAAGGCATTAGGCACAAATTCTTCCCTTTACAGCCTGACTTTGTGCTTTGTGTCACTTATTCTATCTACGGAAAACATGCACCTGAACATTTGTTTGGTGTGCCTGGAAATAACTTCCCTGACTTGATGTAGGAAAAAAATACTAATACATTAAAGATTGCTGAGCAGTCAGTAGGCCTAATTTAAAGTTTAGAGTAATTATGGTGCCAGTAAATTGTCCTTCAATTGCAATGTTTACACTGGCTTGCATTTCACCGTGGGTGGCGCAATCTCTTTTGGTATCACATACATTTATAGAAAGTGTTGCAGTTGTTGCAGGAAAATCTGGAAGTTGTTTTTCAGCCTGTTTGCTAACCGTTGTCCAACTAGATTTTTTCTTTTTCATTTTCTAGTTTTCAAATATAACAGATCTGTCCCTGTTATAATCAATCAAAAAATTATTTGTTTTCTTGTTATTTGCAGCTCTAAATCCTTTTTGATGAGTGGGATTTAGAGCAGGGTTTGTTGAGTGTTTTGCTACGCTTAACACCTGATGAAGTCTATGATTATCTATTGCAACAGTCTTATGGCATGCTAAAGCTGTTGACATTAGAAAAAAGGTGTAAGAGCAATTTCCTCCTGCTCATGGAACCTGACCTATCTTCTGCATGCCCACTGGGCTTCAAAGAAAATAACATTGTAAAAGAAAAAATTAAATAATTTCAATTTTAGACCTTAAAATGCCTTTATTAAGTCCAAGATTTTCATTTTCTGCGTTCCCTCTATTTTATTTTCACACAATTTATTTATCTAATTAAATTTTTTATGAATAAAACTGATCATGAAAATGCACATATCAAGCATATATTTAAATTTTGTTGTGTAGATACTGTTAAGCCCAAAATAATTAATGTATCTGAAAAATGTCAAATAATTTTCTAAAAACTTTCTGTCTGATTGTAGAATCATGTGAGCATCTCTAAAATGTAAACTGAGTAGAAATAAGAGAAAAATATTCTGTTTTTACTCATTTAAGGTCATTAACTAGGACCGAGGGCAAAAACGGCTCTAAGGATTATAAAAGTTACTTCAAAAACAGAAACACAAATAAGTAAAACTTGAAATGTTTAATGGTTGGTGTTTTGGAGGCATGACACGAATTCTTTTTTTAGTCCATCAGGATAATTGTTGGTCCCCATGATTTGCATATTAGGATCTTAGTGTGAAAGAGACTAGTAGGTATACATTTTTTGAGTAAATGCTAAATTGCCTTCTGTGTTTCTCCACTTCAGATCTGTGTTAGAATGTTTTTTTTCCTGCTGCAGCCAATTTGATAACAATCAATCTTGTCACACCAGTATAGTAAGACTTGTAGCGCATATAAAACTTAAGCCTCGGTCACTCGTAAAGGTAATCCTCCAATGCCCTTTATCAAATAACTTTTAAGGTGTCTGACTAAATGTAAATCGAGATGATCATTGAGACTCTACCTTTCTGCCAGGTGTTTTTGTTCTGTAGTTCAGGGAGCTTCAGCAGAGATGCCCATCTAGCAGGAAGCTGTGCATTGCTTGTTCTTCTGAGAATATTATCCTCAGGTGGAGTGGTTTCTCTTTTAAAGTCCTCCTCCTATGGCTCCTCCTATTTCAGATTAGTTTCAAATTACAAAGGGAAACCTTTTTTTTTCTGTGAATTTCTAAAAGGTAACTCCTACTGAGGATGATTAGCTTTTCCTTTGGTTTGTTGTTCAGGTTGTGTGGGTGAAATCACACCCTGTTGGTGGGCTTTGTTGATTACAGGTAAGTTCCTAGAAATGGACACTGATTTTGAATGTTAAAAGTCTGAGGTTACTTCTTAGAAAATCCTATTTTTATTAGAAAGTTATAATAGTTTACCCTTAGTTAGGGATGGGGCCGTGGATGAATTCCTGGAGTTTTTCTGCAACCTGATAAAGAAAACTAATTTTCTCTCTTCTATGTATAAAAGCTGCATCTTCTTCTTGAATTCACTTGTGCCTTTGTTTACATCTTTACTTTTCTTTACTAAACAAAGTCCTAGAGACAAAAAAACTTGTTCACATCATTCTATGACAGGCTTTGTTATAGGTTGGCATTTTACACCTTATACTGTCTAAGAGCAGTGATACAGTTTTTGTTTAACTCTGAGCGATTTGCATTTAAAGGAGAGGCTTTTGCAATGTTGTCGTCTAGAAAGTGCTCTATCCAGTGTGCACTTATTACAACACACACACAGTGTTGTACTGCCAGTGGCACTGTGGCTGTCCTTTATCATCACGCTGCCACTAAATGTTTATCCAATATATACGAAAGCAAAGTACAAAGACAATTTGTGTGCCACTAAGTTCAAAGTCATGCCCATTTTTTTTTTACATTTCATTTATGCTGTTTTTTATAGCTGGTAATTTATGAAAGAACCAAGAAATTATCTTTGCATTTCATCTTTATTGTGGCAGCTGTAACTGACTAATTCTAGTGCATTAGGGTTTAGTACAAGACAAACATACGGTAGAGGGTCAAAATTAAAAAGCTAATTTATCATAGTTGCATGAATTTGGTTTCTAATGCGCTCGACAAAAGATGATGGCAGCCCATGCCGCTGAGGTGAAACCAAACACTGGACACAGTAGCAATGAATCACGCATCTCTGCTAGAAATATGATTCGGTTTAGAAATCGTAGGGATTTAGACATTTTCATAGCAGTCCATCAAAGACAAGTCATCAAGGATGAAGAACCAGAAGATAGAGTAGTTAGTAGAATTGACTAAAACCTTATAATGCAGGCAGGCCAGGTGCAGCTAAAATGTTACCTCCGCGGTTAAAGCGGTTGTAGATTGCAGCATGTTGTAAACGCTCCTTTAAGTGGTCATTCTAACCTGTTGAGGGGCCAAGCCAGAATGATGCATTTTTCTGTGTCTTGTCACTAGTAGATCGGCTGATACAGATTTTTCTTTTCTTTTCTTTTTTTTTTTTAAATACCAGACCCTGAGAGAAATATTTGCTCTCCTTATTTAGAGCAACACTTAACTCCTGGGCCAGATACCTGTAACTTAAAATACAATGATAACATATACATTTTTGTAACAAAGCTGATGTTTCTTTTTCTTAATCATGATCAGGTTCATTTTTCCACCCATTTAATGCAGCTTGATGACTACTTTTATGAAGTTTAACTATCCACACTTGACCAATTATTTTACAAAATCTACCAGGTAGATCTAGCCTCTATAGTATTTAATGAGAATTTGCCACAAACATTTATCGAGTAAAAATGTGTGACATATTTGAGCCCTATTGGGATCATGCATTTATTTCAACGTTTGCTTTAACCCACTGTGATGCTGAGACAAATTGAACCAGTCCTTATCTTTGCCTTTTTAGCTGAAACCTTTGGCTTAAAACAGAGATACGAAATTGTGCATACTTTCTAGTCAAATGCTTATCTATAGCACAGTTAAATTAACACAACAATGAGTTTCCAGTTATATGTGTCTAGTTAAGTCCTTTCCTGAGCTGAAGGGCTTCTGGTTGGCATTCCCTTGTAGAAAAGCTTAATAGCCAATAATAAAATAAAATATATATATATTTTTTTACTGCAATATTGTCAATGCATACTTTTTAAGGATGTAAAATAAATATTGTGTCCTTGTAAATATTTGCGGTCATTTCTTATCTCTAAGCAGGTGTGCACAATCATAACATTTCTTGAAGGTTTCTGCAAAATGTATTTGTTCTGTGATGGTATATTTACACAATAAAGTCGCTAATATAAACCATCATCTTGTTTTAGCAAGATAGTGGTTTACATGTAGGTTTTGAAAAAAATATTTGGATGAAATTAAATTATTAGTTTGTAAAGAACGTTTTTATTTTTTTTTTCATGTAAAAATATTATTTTTGATCCACATATGTAGCTGCTGTATCGTTCATAGTAAAGATTTCTCCATTTTTAGATCTTTTTGTAGTTGAGCAGTCTGTTATTGTTGTGCTGGTGCTTTATTTGGTTTTGTTTCAGACTTTTCTCTTAAAATGAAAGTCACGTCACCTCATTTGTTGCTGCTGTTTGGTTCCCACCTCTACACTCACTCAACCAGTCTGACCAGCTTGTAACATGAATTATTAAACCTATCATTTTATCAGTGGTGTGTACAAATTTTTGGATCCATCGTAGTTAATAAACATGTAATAACTTTACTCCTTTTCTCATCCTTGCACTCAAAATTATGTCAACTGTGTGGCAGGATGTTGGACGCATGAAGATTGAGCTGTTTGCTGATGTGGTTCCAAAGACTGCAGAAAACTTCCGGTAAGGAAAATGCCCTTTAATCTACAATACCTTATCTTTTTTTTTTTGTTGTCATTATTTTTGTCTGTAGTTTAGTTATTTTTACATGTAAAAAGTATAATGCAATTTATTTTAACCATGTTGATCCTTATTTTATAATTCTTTTTCATAATCCCTAACAGGCAGTTCTGCACAGGAGAGTTCAGGTAAGGTTGCTTTATACAGCGCTACTATATTCAAACAGTTCCACCCACACTGTTTGGCCACTCTTAAGAGTGAATGTGTGTTAAAGATGTTAAAATAAACTCATTTTAATTGTAATTACCTGATCCCACAGTTAACATTTTTGAAGAATCCAGTATTTAATTTGCTTTCATCTTATCTCTGGTTGAGAAATTTCCACATTTTTGCACATTCTCTCTAGAACCAGGCACTTAGATGTTTGCTCCCTAGCTCATCCCACACCTTTTCTAGTATTTAGTTGGTATGTCTTTGTGGTTAGTTAGCCAAATGTTTTGGATCTTGAAGCCAAATGCTAGCCACTTTCTCCTATTTAAAAAAAATTAATACCTCTTTTCAAATTCAGAGACATTCAAATTAAGATCTAGGTAAATATATGGAAGCCATCTTCAATTAATGGTTTTCATCCATTTTGAACTAGATTATCATGTACAGGCCATATATCAAAACCAGCAGGTTCCTTAAGCTTTTGGTAATAGTATATATTTGCCATTAATTTGGTTTCATTTGTAAAGGAAAGCTCTGTGTTTACAACTTTAAGCTGTTTCTCCCAGATTCTTTCCTGAGAAGAGATCTCTCGAGACAAACTCTTTGAATAACACTTCAAAATGTATAAGTATTAAAAAAACTATAAGGCATGAAAACATATTTTGACAGAAATTGTAATCTTACTAAGACCAGAGAATTTGCTTAGGGTCGCTTGCTAGGGTCGCTTGTTGTTTAGGCCCTGAATCAGAGTTAAAGAAGCATTTTATGCAACTCCAGTATCACACCCTGCCACATCATTATATCATATATGTTTGTAAATAAGACATCCATGATTCCAGGTGTATCAAAATATTACACTATGTTCTTAGATAAAGGACACTGCTCTCATTCCATTCCCAAACCTTTGCTACATACATCATGGAGACAATAGTTCTGTAAAACATGTATAGGTCAACATAATGAAATATGTGTAATAAACACCACTCTCACTGCATTACATCAACTGATGTTCTTATTTAATAGTCTGATTTTTTTTTTTACAAAGTGTTTCTGGAAGCAGTTGCTTTTGATAAGTAATGGCAGCTGCACTTAATCCCCTCCTGGTATTTCAAACTGAAAGGTTTGATTAGACTATGTGACATAATGGCTGCTATAAAAAATTCTGAAAGTTTATGGCCTTTCGTAATACAAGTTAAACATTAAAAGAAACAAAAAGACATGGTCACTAATGATTTGTGTGGTATTTTATTAAATGATTTTTGTTTTTAGCCAAAACAATCATCATAAATTTTATCAAAAAAAGATAAAAAAGAATCCATTGTTGCTGGAGGGCCAGATGTGTATCATTCTTAAACCGCCACACAAATTCCCCAAGCTGCATTAATGTCAATCATGGTTTCATCCAGTTTCTCTCCTCCCTCTGCCCTGCAGGAAGGATGGTGTCCCAATTGGTTATAAAGGCTGCACTTTCCACAGGTATGTAACCAAGCATTGGGTCTCTTCTATAAGATGCGCCAGACCAATCTAGACATGCTAATCTAATGCATAAGAGTTCCTAATGGGGACGGTTTCAGAAAGAATAGCTGACCTGAGATACTCTGAGTAATTCTTTTTTTGTTTGTTTTTTGAGGGTTTACGGCCATAGTGGCTATTTTTGGGATAGTTGGCTGACAGGAAAGTGTGTATGAGAGAGGGGGAGAGACATGTGTATGAGGTGCCCCCAGGGACATAAATCTGAATTAACTTCCATACACACATATTAGTTTAAACTCTTCCATATAATATACAAAAAAAAAACATGCATAAACAATAATGAAAAGCTCTCACATAAACTAGTGAAAACATTTACCTCTTATTTAACCTAATGAAGATCTTGCACAAACACTAGTGAAAAGCTCTCACATAAACTACCGTATTTTCACGACCATAACGCGCACCGTACTAAAAGTCGCAGTCTCAGTTATGTGTGCCATTTCTGTATTTAACACACACATAAGGCGCACCGGACTATAGAGCGTGGGTTTTATATACAGGTACATGTCCTCTAGTACGTTTAAATACCTCTATTGCGTATTTAAAAATAGAGCGGGAGCAAAACTGAGTATGTTTGTGCTTTATTCATGTATTTATTACAAAGTATTAATCAAACCTGGGAGCTGGCCGTGAGACAGACACATCGCTGATGACCCAGAGCGCTGTGATCACTCTTCTGAAACGGTTTATTGACGCATAAATTAACTTAAAATGCAGAAATTTGCCGGCAGAATATGTTCGCTTTTATTATCCTGGTGCCTGCAGTTTAGATCATTTAGATGAAAAACACCTACCAGCTGCCGCGGTGAATGGGATTCCTACTGATGCGCACCGCCGGTATGTGAGGGTCTGAGCGGTTCCGACAGAACTAATATTAGAAGGCAGGATCGTAATCTGGATGAACTGACTGCAATGATTAAGTTTTCAGGTGGACTTTCTCATTTAAAAACATATTAAAACTACTTTATTCCCACTGATCACAGCAAATATAGCTCCAAGGCAAAGAAAAGATAGAGTAGCTCCACCCAACGCATGTCAGACACACTTTTGCACCGCGCAGCCAGAGCAGCAAAGCTGCTTCAGCCGCGCGTCAGAACTAACTGGTACAAGCAGCAAAAATGAAGCAGCAGACGCCTGAATGTAGCATTACTTTGAACGGCCGGTTCACACCGATTTTGAGCGTTTGAAGTTCTTTTGTCAGACCTCCCGGAATAACAGCAAGCACAGCGTTAATTTGTTTCACCATGTTTTTCACATCGACTGTGAGATGGGCACGCATGGAGTCACAGATTAACAGCGATGGTGATGCGTGGAAAAAACCACCTGGTCTCCTTACATTAACCTCCCTCAGCCCCTCTTTCATCATCTCCTCAATGAGGAGATGATGAGTTCTGCATAAAGCACATACCTGTTCTTTTATACACAATCCATGCCCACACTTCCCCCTTTAACGTTCTCATGGTGGTCTCAAACGTCCGCAGTAACAACACACATAGGACGCGCCGCACATTTTTAGGGAAAAAAATATGTTTATATGTGCCTTATAGTCGTGAAAATACGGTACTAAAAAGCTTTCACATACACTACTAAAAAGCTATTTGCGGATTCAGATGAAAACGGAAGGCATTTCAGCATCACAAGATTTGTGACTTTCCAGAAAACACTGTATGTGTTTATATTGTAAGGTACATTGTTAGAAATACTTAAAATAAGACAGTTTTTGAAAGAAATAATTTCCCTTTGCCGATCTGAGCTAAAAAGAAAGAAATACTCAGGGATACCTCTAAAAACCCTGCTACTGAGCGTGGTAATTTCATGGAGTAATTTGTTGTCATTAGTTTAGTCAGAATAATGGCTTACTATAACTTTCTGAAACAGAAAATCCTGAGTTTAAAATAATTTTCCCCAGAACATAGTTTGGTTCGCCTCTGACCTTGTTTAGCAAAATGGAATGTAATGTTTTTTGCTAAGACAACATTAGCAGAAAACGGATTATACTCAAGTACCATAAAAACAGTAAAATATGGGACAATACAGGCCTCAGTAAATTGATGATGGTACCATATGTGTTAATACTGACAAAAGTTTAAACAGAATTAACTAGATGGTCGTGGTTGAAAATTGACATTTCAACTTCACAGTCCTTTCTGTTAAGAGGACCCTCTCACAACAAAAGGATTAGCACTTGTGCTTTGTCAGGATAGTATGGATGTGTCTGTCTTTCTAAATTTGCATAAGTCATACTCACCAAACAGGTAAAGTCTGAGAGCATAGTTAACGGCAGCAGAATCTACCTTTGAACAGTCTGGAAGACACATCAGTTTGCTTTCTTCCTTCTTTTTTTGTATTCCGGGTCTATATGTCTATATGGAAGGCTAATTTTCTCTGTAAGATTCCCTTTTATTTTTATCTTAGATGTTGGGTGTTGATATAATATTTCAATAATTCAAACTGATTTATCCTTGAATCCCATTTTCCTCAAGATGTAGTACAAAAGTTCCAATTTACAGTCAAAAGCTATTTCTGCTTATACACTAAGCAGCACCGTACTCCTTTTTTCTCTCTGCTTATTCTATGATATTATACCTGCTGTCCTTTTATGAACCCTGTCTGATCTTCATCTATTAATTCTGATATAAAAGTGTTTCTTTTTTTCAGTTTCTTCAGGTTTATTGGTTATTATATTGGTTTAAAGGTCTCAAATTTGAAAACTTGTTTTTGTTGATTGCTGTTTTCTGTTGTGGTGAAGAGAGAGCTGAGCTCTCGATTTACTGGTCGATCTACTTTCCTACCCTCATCTATGGTCATGAGATCCCAGATACAAGCGGCTGAAGGGACCCATCTCTTAGCAACTCTGTCTTAAAGATATATGTATTAGTTTTCCCATTCTTCCTCATCCAGGTTATGTATGTTTTATTTTATTTTATTTTTTTTTCCAGGAATTGCTGCTCCAATTTCTTAATTGTTTTTAGATTATCCCTCAACCAGATTGTCTCAAACATGGCTACCTATGATAAAGTTGTCAGTGAGCTGAGACATTTAGCAACTGTTTTTGAAAACAATGCTGATGCTCGAGTTTCTGAAAAGGGGGACCCTTATTTTTTGGGGGGGTCAGCTGCTTGGCCGCTCACTGAACCGGACCGGGCATTCGAACCGAGCCATCAGCTCTGGGGCTGGTCGGGGTCCGGGTCCGGAGCCAGCCGGGAATGGAGCAAACTAACCCAGTCAGTAGCCCAGCAGCCCCCCTAGCCTTGTCCAAACAAAAAAACAATATAGTCAATACTATAACGTTTGCATTGTTTTAAAAAACAGTTGCTACATGACTCCCCTCACTGACCAGTTCATCGTAGGTAGCCATGTTTGTTGTGACTGTGGCTGTTGGCTGCTAACCAACCAATGGGGAGAAGTTGAGCCCTTAAGACACACATGATGCAGAAATGCATACAGAAATGTAAATACGACAAGCAGAAATAAATAGTGTTGAAGAAATAAATAGCATAAAAAAATACAAAGGAAGAATAAACCAGGCAAAAATATTTAAACATGCACATAAATAAATGCTTCAAAAATAAGTAATAAATAAATAAAGTTGAAGAATATAACAGACAATAAATAAGGTAATTATTGCAAAGGCAAATAAACAAAGAAGCTAATTAAAAGAGATATCTATATTTATGTCTCACTGTTTAATTTTTACCTACATTTGTATTTTTGCGGGGCAATTAATTGTATGCTTATTTATTTTTGGAGCATTTATTTATTTCTGTATTTATTTTTAGTTATGGCAGAGTTGGTCCTACATATAGAACAACGAAGCAGCAGAACAAAAATATTTGAACAGGTAAAACAAGTAGAATACTGAACAGCTGTCATGGGGCCGCTTCTACACATCCCCCATTAACCCTTTGGGTGGGTGGCCAGGGAGTCCTCACTTTTCGGACCAGCCTATTATAGGATTATCAAATCTAGCATCTTCCAACATACTTTCTTCTCTAAGCCATGGCTCAATATAGCTTCCCATTTGCATAAGTTCTTAGGTAAGGAGGGGTTTATTTTCGGATCATACAAAGATGTCATTTTGTAAATTAGCTCCATGTTTTATCCACCAATCTTTTTCTTTTTGTGGAGATGTTGCATTTTTTTTTTAAATCTCTTCTAGATTTATGGAATCTCTTCACTTCTAGATTAGCGTTTTCTTCTTTAATCAATGACTGCATTTGTGTTATGGCTGCTGCTTTTGCTGTTTTATCTGCACATGAATGCCCTAAAGAGGTTTCATCTGTCATGAAATGTACATTTTTAAATTTGCATATAGCTATAACTCTTTCTATGTGCACAGCAGCTCACAAACCTGTTTAGTAATTGTTGTATGTGTTACTGGTTTTTCTGCGAAAGTAAACATGCCTGTTTTTTTCAAGTATTATGTAAATGTGTAAACTGTAGATAATGCATTATGAAAACAACTCAGCAGAACAGGTCAGTCGTGAGGGGACCATTTTGCGGGGTCACTGGGTTCAGGAGACAGAACCAGAGGATACAAAACAGTCAGCCTGGTGGCGGGCCGGTCCGGCCAGGGAAACAAACACCAGTCAGTAGCTCCGAGCAGCTCCCAGCTTGCCAAACAAAAAAAAATACTCAGTCTACGTCAGAAACGGCTTAAAAAACAGGCCATCTCCCATCATTACAAGTTTGATAAACGAGTAGCTATGTTTTTTGTGATGTCTGTCCACCAACAATGGAGAAGTCGAGGCCCTAACTACCATGAGCAAGCAAGATACAGAAAGTTAAATATAAACAACAGAATATATGTGAGAATAAGATAAAAAACAAGAGAAGAATAAACAGCAAATAAATGGGTTAAACCTCCAAAATAAAGCTATAGCAATAAATATAAGTTGAGTAGGATAACAGACAACTAAATAAGCTTTATTCAACAAATAACAGAAGCTAATTAAAAGAAAACAGTGTTGCCTCACTGTTAATACTACTGTATTTTTGCGGCAAGTAATTGAGCTGATATTATTTTTGGCCTTTCATTTCTATTTATTTTAGTTCTAGGAAGGTCCTACATATAACAACGAAGCAGAGAAGCGAAATATTTGACGTAGGAAAAATAGAAACAATCAGATTTTGTATAAGGGGACGCTTCCAATTTAAGCCTTTGGTTGGTAGAGAGGATTATTTTCACACTATTATAGATTATCAAATCAAAGCACATGCCAAGAATCCCAAGCATGGCTAATATAGCTTCCCATTTCTTAATTCTTATAAGAAGGGTTTTTGACATACAGATGCATTTTGATAATTAGTCCAGTTTTACACAACTTTCATTTTGTAGATGCATTTTTTTTAATAATTAGATTAGGAATATTTCACCAGTAGCGTTCTCTTAATACAAGATGCATTGGTTATCTGCTGTTTGCTGCTTTCATCTGACATGAATCTCTAAAGGTGACAATATGTGTAAAAGGTTGCATCTTTCCCTTTAAAGGGGAACACCAGTTTTTTTTTTTTACATTGGGCCCTTGATTTTACATCATTACATCATGTTCTACACACCCATATGAGTTTTGTGTCATTTGGAACTGTTCTGAAGATATTCGGTTAGGTTATATCCAAGTGACGTCTTCCTATGGGTAAACGACTTAAAAGCACAAATTAAACTGTTCATAATTTATCATTTATGGTACGCCAGCATTCACAACATGTAGGCGAATCACTGTCCCCCAGACATCTGCGGTTATATTTTTTATATTTACATTTTTTTTTTTAAACAAAGCGGATATAGGAATGCATGCATGACTCAGCTCATTTGCATATTGAGACTGGAATTCCTACAGCAATGCATGCATGACTCACCTCATTTGAAAAGTGAGGTAGGAATGTATAGATTAATGAAGAACAAGATGAATGAATGAAAAAATTATGAATGAATACATGTTTATTGAGATGAAATTAATTCCTCCTGTACGATTTTGTCGTCCACATGGAAAAGGAGCTATCTTGCATGGAAAGCTAGGCTTTCTGGTCTCCTGGTTTTGGCGACTTTTTCCCACACCGTGTGCGAAGGTTGTACAGACAGACCTAAAGAAAGTTAACACAGGCACTGGAACGGAGATCTGAAGATGAGATTGAAGAGGAACCGTAAACCCAGGGTTATGGCTCTGATTTCACTGGACGGGAACAGACCAGTTGATTTTCCACTCCATTTGTGCTTGGTGGTCCTAAAGAAGGCTCCAGTTATTATCAAAGCAAAGCCAATCCTGAGTGTGGCGTTTATAGAGAACTGAACAGAAGATAACTGTGAAAATTAATATTAAAATCAGGTTAAGGATCTTAACCTGTACTGATGCAGGTTTAGAGATGACCTAAAAGTTTGAAATTCGATTTATTGATTTTTTAGTTTGGTCTTTAGAGACTTTACTTTGAAGTCAAGCACAAGTATTTCAGCCAAGCTCAAGATACTGTCTAAAACTAGACTTGCTACCGCTATGATTTTAATGGATCCAGCTGAAGTGCCTCACTTGAAATGGGTTTAGTCAAATCCTACACAGAGTATATCCTCAGGCTCAGAGCTAACTGAATGGACTCTGTGTGTTCTTTATTACCTGGAACTATCAATGCAATTCCCTGTTTAACCTGCTGGAAATCTAGAGGAGGCTGCTTGTGTAACGAGAACCAGTTCTTCTTCGTGGTTATGGACAACATAACATGGTGCAGAAAACAGTGTTGGGTTTGGGAATCTTTCAATGTTTGTTTTTTCTAATTAGCAAAAGTGCTAAATAGTTTTTAGGGGGAGCAACTTCTAAAGGTTTGCCACTTGATGAATTGTATATTGAGCATATATACAGAAAGTAAGAGATAAATTTGCATTGTGTTTTGTTAACAGTAACTGATTACTAAGTTGAGGATTATTTCAGTAAGTGATTACTCAGATTATTTGTCTGTACTGGTCACTCTATAGTTTTCTGTTTCTTGCTCATTAGGATGAATGGATAGAATGTGGGATGGATAGAGGTGTTTGGGCTTTGTCTGCTACTCTGGGTTGTTAGAAGCAGACCGAGCTGAGTTCACTGACAAAACTTAGTTTATTCAACCATCTACGCAACAGGCCTCACCTGTTGTGTTGCATCTGATGGATGAGGCCTCCTGAAAAACTTCAGTTTGTGGTTTTTCTGGGCTTGCCAACGGCAAATAGTTGACATGTCTTATTTATTCTTTTCATTCACAGGGTGATTAAAGACTTCATGATTCAAGGTGGAGACTTTGTAAATGTAAGTACAGCAACACCTTTCTAATTTCCTGAAAGCATTTCGGCTATTTATATGCTTTTATTTGTGATTGCTTGCATTCTTGCCAATCACTTAAGTCTACTTGTTTTTTAGTTTTGCTTTCCACTGTATTTATCTTCAATGTAAAATCTATTATAAATCCAAATACAACTTCTCCCTTCTTTTCGTACAATCCACCTTGAAAAAGGTTCTAATATTTAGTAGACTATAAATTATTTTTGAATCAACATATTCAGATTTTCTGTTCAGTCCTTTTAAAAAAAAAAAGCACACCAAACTATGAAAGTTGTAACTTTTATGTCAGATTAATTTCTAGCAAAGTTGTGGATACTTAATTATATGTTTGTGTGTCTCATTATAGTCCTGAAACTGAGACATTATCTGAAAACATTGGATAAGAAATGCTTCTTTCTCCCTCTTGTGGTTATAACCTGAAGTACATGTTCCTGTGTAATCTGAGAGACATCAGAGAATTAGAAATGGAATGATTTTCTTGCCATTATGTGCAACACTAGGAGATTTAAAGTCACCAATATCAGTGCAAAGAGAGAGTGGATAAAATGTTATTCTAAGAAAAATATGAAGAATATGAATACAGTGTTGATGTTAGTGTAAAGTTCAGAGACTTGTAAATAAATATGGTGTATGTACATATATAGAATAAATATAAATAGCACATAAATGTATGATGTGAGAGTTCTGTTTGGCAATAGCACCTGTAGTAGCGTCAGTTTGTCTTTTGTGAAAGGGTGATGGTACTGGAATCTGCAGCATCTACAGAGGCCCATTTGCAGATGAAAACTTCAAAATGAAGCATTCTGCTCCTGGACTTCTATCCATGGTACGTGTGACGATGATTCCATTTTGTTTTTCCAAAGAAAAGCTAATCACAAACAGTTCATTAATGATTCTTATTTGAAATGCAGGCAAACAGTGGACCAGGAACAAATGGATGCCAGTTTTTCATTACTTGCACTAAATGTGACTGGTTGGATGGGAAGCATGTTGTTTTTGGTGAGTGAATCCTGAGAATTTATGTTTTTAGAGAAATGGGCTCATGTTTTTTTTTTGGGAAAAGCTGTAAAATGATTCCAGTCAAACTGACATCAGGTTCTTCTTTATTTTTAGGAAAAGTGGTGGATGGTCTACTGATTATGAGGAAAATTGAGGTAAAACATCACTAAACAGCTTTTTTAATTTGCACCTCTTGGTATTATCATTTTGATTTTTTTTTTCTTGAAAGACTGGTTTGAATGAAATTAAACTGTTTTACAAAGAACAATAGTGCTCAGTTCCCCCAGTGTAATGTAAATGCATGTATCATTAGTTCATTTATTTTTCTAATTGACACCCACAATAAAAAATGAGAAACCTCTTTTCATTAGTAGGGGGCTTGTCGGTCCGTGTCAGTAATATCTCTGATGCCATCTTATAGCTTAGAAACAACACAGCTTGTGGGCTGGACAGCAAAACATCTGAGCATTTGAAACACTTTGGCTGCAGATTATATCAGCTGATCTGCAGTCATGGCCAAAAGTATTGAGAATGACACAGATATTATATTTTCACATGATCTGCTGCCCTCTGGTTTTCATGTGTGTATGTAACATATTGTCGTCACATACAGAAATACAATTGCAATCATATTATGAGTAACGAAAGCTTTTAATGACAGAATGAGTTAGTGCAGCAAGTCAATATTTGCAGTGTTGACCCCTCTTCTTCAGGACCTCTGCAATTCTCCCTGGCATGCTCTCAATCAACTTTTGGACCAAATCCTGACTGATAGCAGTCCATTCTTGCACAATCAGTGCTTGCATTTTGTCAGAATTCCTAGATTTTCGTTTGTCCACTCCTCTCTTGATGATTGACCACAAGTTTTCAATGGGATTAAGATCAGGGGAGTTTCCAGGCCATGGACACAAGATCTCTCTACCATGCTGGAAAAGGCATTGTTCATCACCAAATTGCTCTTAGATGGTTGGGAGAAGTTGCTCTCCGAGGACATTTTGGTACCATTCTTTATTCATGGCTGTGTTTTTAGGTAAGACTGTGAGAAAGCCAACTTTCTGGGCTGAGAAGCAACCCCACACATGAATGGTTTCAGGATGCTTGGCAGTTGGCATGAAACAAGACTGGTGGTAGCGCTCACCTCGTCTTCTCCGCTTCACAGTGTGTGCAGATGCACTCACACCTGCCTGCTGCCATTCCTAAGCAAGCTCTGCACTGCTGGTAGCCCGATCCCGCAGCTGAAACACTTTTAAGAGATGGTCCTGGTGCATGCTGGTCTTTCTTGGGCGCCCTGGAGCCTTTTTGGCAACAATGGAACCTCTCTCCTTGAAGTTCTTGATGATGCGATAGATTGTTGTCTGAGGTGCAATCTTTCTAGCTGCGATTCTCTTTCCTGTTAGGCCATTTTTATGCAGTGCAATGATGACTGCACATGTTTCTTTAGAGATAACCATGGTTCACAGAAGAGAAATGATGATGCCAAGCACCAGCCTCTTTTTAAAGTGTCCAGTGGTGTCATTCTTTCTTAATCATGACAGATTGATCTCCAGCCCTGTCCTCATCACCAACCACACCTGTGTTAATGGAGAAATCACTGAAACGATGTTAGCTGGTCCTTTTAAGGCAGGGCTGCAATGATGTTGAAATGGGTTTTGGGGGGAAAAAGTTCATTTTCTAGGCAAATATTGACTTTGCAATTAATAGTTGTTACGTTGATCACTCTTTATAACGTTCTGGAGTATATGCAAATTGCCGTTATAAAATCTGAAGCGGGAGACTTTGTAAATATTAACATTTGAATCATTCTCAAAACTTTTGGCCATGACTGTAAATGGGTGTTACTGGGTTTTTGTCATTAAAGCCAAGGCCACTTAACAGCGTACAAAACTACAGGCCAGTTGTCCTTGCCAGCATTCTTTAAGTATGTGTCTATTTTGTAGGGCTGCAACTAACAATCATTTTGCTAATCGATTATCCGTTGATTATTTTTTCCTGATTAGTTAGCGGTTATTCCAGTAATTGATTAATTGTTTCAGCCCTGCTATTTTGTTGACTAGATGTGAAAAGTTGGTCTTAACAAGTGATAATGAGTTAGGATTTAGGAAAAGGCTATTAGAAGCATTTTCATGTTTCTAATAGTGTCAGACAAGGTGGACATGGATGATTTGACATCACTGTTAAACAGTTGAACATCTATTGTTATTCAATATTTTACTGTATATTACTTTACGATCCATTATGACATCCATCTATAGGTGATGTGACTGCAATTTAAACTTCAGCGTCTGTGACATGCCATCAGGCCAGAACAGGTGGATCAATTAAAACATTCTCTCTGACGCCTTTTGAACAATCTGACCCATCCATCAAGAGTAGTCGATGTTTCATTGTGTTTTACTACTTTCAAAACATCTTGTAACCTTATGACCTTCTGCATAATAGAAACTATGCAATGTCAAGTTTAATAATTACGCACTGTAAACTAGCCACTGACTTCTAAATGTGAAAAATTGCTTTGTGCATTTGCTTTGTTTCTGTGATAGAATCGAATAGTTCCCTTTGTTTTCCACACTGGGGGAAATTGTGGTGTTACAGCAACAAAGGTTATCGTAGAAGTGGTCACAGTGTATAAGAATAACAGATAGGAAAAATAAAACAGAGTGTGGTACTTTACAGTGTTTTTCCCACTATAAATACTCTGCTTCTGCAAAATTAAAAAAAATCAATAATAGCTGTGGACATTTTTACAGTAATGGATATGTGAAAAATTGTAGCAACACCAGAAATGTGCAAAACAATGACAGCAGCATGTTATTTAACTGAATAAGACAGAAGCTGTGCAAAAAACAGCATCAGTATAACAACTTATTGAGGTTTTTGGAAACAGTGATGTATTGTTATGTGAACATACTCCTTTCTATGTGTTTGTTTATTATCCAAATTGGGCTAGATGACTCTAATATGATTTTATAGATTATTTCCCGTATAAAAATGAATCCCCTCTTGCAGACATGTAAAAAAAATAACCGTAATGTTTACGGTAAATTAGGATTGGATTGTGAAGGTGTGTAAAATGATGCTTCTTTACGAATTACCAAGGGTTGCTACAAATTATTTAATGAGTATGCTGCTCCATTTTATACAAAACAATGGGCACTATAGGACTAACCTTTCAAATAAACAGGATAGTGACGTCTGCTTTTTTTATTTTAATTGTTCTTCTTGTATGGGTAATATTGAATTGATTTTTTTTATTCTGAGGCACAAATTCTTCCTAGACTTTGCTTGATGAATTTATATTTAATGAAAGCGTATCCCTCTCACCTTGAACAGAATGTGCCCACAGGACCCAACAACAAACCCAAGCTGCCCATCGTCATCGCTCAGTGTGGAGAAATGTGATCCAACCAGTTCTGTCAGTTGCATCAGAAAAGAGAAACCTCTACATCGGTTGACTGGAAATGGCAAACATGTTGTTTCCATGAACACCTGCAGGTTGTTGAGGAAAAACTGCTCACATCATATGAGTTTTTCTAACTGTCACTCAGTGTTTTTCATTTTATAATACATTTTGTGAGACTTCCTTTTGCTTTTTGTCATATATCAAATGCAATAAACTTCTTTTTGGAATATGTATGTTCAATCAGGTTCTCTTCTTTTTTTGTTCCAAAGAAAACAAACAAAAACACTTAAATCCTCCGTATAGAGAATGGAATGTCGTGTTTTTATAACTGGCTTTGGAAAACAGTCAAATTAAACCGAGTTATTGAAGAGCTGGACTTTGGACAATATTGTTAAAGAATCGATACCTATTTTGTCTAAATATAAAAAGTTCCCTGGGCAGATTAGAAGACAGCAAAACATTGTATCAAATCATGGAAAAGTTTACAACACAAGAAAAATAATTTTTTTATTCATTTTTTTCATGTAACAGCAGGGATTTAAACAGAGTGTGCAGAGCAGTAGTGCTTTACATTGGATTGCTTACTTGATCTCTGCTGAAATGCTAAGGAAATGCACAGAGGTGTAAAGTTGTACTGTGAGGGGACGCAGGATTAATGTCAACCTTATCCATGGAGTAAATAGGGCACCCTCTTCGGTGCCAAGCAATCCTCTGCTGAACTTATGGCTTCCCCTTCTATGCCAGCCCAATCCAAGCTTCCAGCCCCCCTCCCCCATCGGTCCTCCCCTTGAGCATCATTCTCTTAGCATAAAAGAATCCTTTCAGATGGAGAAGACTCTCTTCTTATGGAGGCAGGAAGAGGGTCGTCTATTTTTTTTTTTTGAAAAGAGGTTTTCTCCATGGGGAGGCTTTTTGAGACTCATTTGTGTGTGTGGGAGAGCAGAGCTTGGCAAGTGTTTCACACGTCTGCCTGTGCTTCTAATCGGTGCCAGTGGAGCTTTAATTACCATGACAATGTTTGGGAGGAGGGGGTCTGTGCTCTCATCAGTAGAAGAGGGAAAGTTAACCTAACTCAAGATGGATGCTTTTCATGGATTGTACTATTCTGAGCAGAAAATTAAGTCACGCGCCATTCTGACATTAAAACATTACTTCAAATATAATTACTTCAAACAATTAGGGTTGATAAATTATTGTCTAGATCTTATTAATTCAATCCTAGTATAAATACACCTGTTTTGAGAAGACCTCCAGAGAAAGGAGAACCATTGGCATCATAAAGGACAGGAACACGATGCAGAGGAGCCTTAAAGCAGGCGAGCAAAGAACCATGCACTTATGGCATTTAAGTAGATGTGACAACCTCTTCTGCCTGTTGCTGTGTTTGGGAATCATGGTAAAACATCATTTAATTAAAAAAAAATTATGATAACTACCTACAGCCAAGATCAGGCTATGTAGAATTAAAAAATTGATCTGGCTAAGAAGTTGAATATGTGTTCATGTGTCAGTAAGTTGAATATGTGTTGTTGATGCTTTCTATCTGCTCATTGTGACTTGTTACAAAGGTATGACTCTTTAATAGCCAGGAGATGACATACTGCAGCTTTAACTGGGCGTTTAGAAGTATAAAGCAGAGTTGGCTGATCAAATATTGCTTGATAGATTGACTTTATTGATCAGTGGTAAAATGTATTCATTACATCATCTCAGATAGTCAAAAGGAAGAATAAGGTGCCAAAGGAAGAAAAGGTGCATGGGGTATATACAGTATATATATATATATATATATATATATATATATATATATATATATATATATATATACATATATATATATACATATATATATATATATATATATATATATATATATATATATACATATATATATATACATATATATATATACATATATATATATAATATATATATACATATATATATATATATATACATATATATATATAATATATATATAAATAAAATCTTTTATTTTTTTTAAAGCAGGATTATTGTACAGAGTTATTGCACAGGGTATTTACATGGGTATTTTTTATAGATGGGTATTTATCTATATAGTTATTGCACTGGGTATCAAATATAAAAAAACAGGTTATTGTGGAGGGTATTAGATAGTAATTGCACATTATACATTGCAGAGGTTATTGCCGTTGTAGTGTTGTACAGGTCCTCAAAATATTAGCATCTTGTGATAAAGTTCATTATTTTCCATAATGTAATGATAAAACTTAAACATTCATATATTATAGATTCATTACACACTAACTGAAATATTTCAGGTCTTTTATTGTCTTAATACAAATGATTTTGACATAGAGCTCATGAAAACCCCAAATTCCTATCTCACAAAATTAGCATATCATGATAAAGGTCTCTAAACCAGCTATGCACCTGATCATCTGACTCAACAAATTAACTCTAAACACCTGCAAAAGATTCCTGAGGCCTTTTAAACTCCCCAGCCTGGTTCATCACTCAAAACCCCAATCATGGGTAAGACTGCCGACCTGACTGCTGTCCAGAAGGCCATCATTGACACCCTCAAGCAAGAGGGGACGACACAGAGAGATATTTCTGAATGAATAGGCTGTTCCCAGAGTGCTGAATCAAGGCACCTCAGTAGGAAGTCTGTGGGCAGGAAAAAGTGTGGCAGAAAACGTTACACAACGAGAAGAGGTGACCAGACCCTGAGGAAGATTGTGGAGAAGGGCCGATTCCGGAGTAGAAAAATCCAGAGCCACCATGCACAGGTGTGTACAGAAAATGGGCTACAGGTGCCGCATTCCCCAGGTCAAGCCACTTTTGAACCAGACCTGGCATGGGCTACAGAGACGCAGCACTGGACTGTTGCTCAGTTTTGCATGTCATTTGGAAATCAAGGTGCCAGAGTCTGGAGGAAGACTGGGGAGAAGGATATGCCAAAATCCCAGAAGTCCAGTGTCAAGTACCCACAGTCAGTGATGGTCTGGGGTGCCATAACAGCTGCTGGTGTTGGTCCACTATGTTTTATCAAGGGCAGGGTCAATGCAGCTAGCTATCAGGAGATTTTGGAGCACTTCATTCCATCTGCTGAAAAACTTTATGGTGATAAGGATTTCATTTTTCAGCACAACCTGGCACCTGATCACAGTTCCAAAAACATTGGGAAATGGTTTACTGACCATGGTATCACTGTGCTCAATTGGCCTGCCAACTCTCCTGACCTGAACCCCAGATAGAATCTCTGGGATATTGTGAAGAGAAAGTTGAGACACGCAAGACCCAACACTGTGGATGAGCTAAAGGCCGCTTTTAAAGCATCGTGGGCCTCCATAACACCTCAGCAGTGCCACAGGCTGATTGCCTCCATGCCACGCCGCATTGAAGTAGTCATTTCTGCAAAAGGATTCCCAACCAAGTATTGAGTTCATAACTGTACTTAATTATTTGAAGGTTGAATTTTTTTGTATTAAGAACACTTATTTTATAGGTCGGATGAAATGTGCTAATTTTGTGAGATAGGAATTTTGGGTTTTCATGAGCTGTATGCCAAAATCAACTGTATTAAGACAATAAAAGACCTGAAATATTTTTGTTGTTGTGCAATGAATTTAAAATATATGAATGTTCAAGTTTCATTATTGCATTATGGAAAATAATGAACTTTTATTCTAATATTTTGAGAAGGACCTATATTGTATAGTCTGGTGGGTTGAATGACCTGCGGAAGCGCTCCTTTTTACAAACAGGGTGTATAGGTCCTTCACTAAGAGTGAATACTTTAGATATTGAATACTTGCGTCTTTGCTCAACAACAAAAATAGTGTGGCCAAGTTACAAACCAACAAAATTGCTGACTCGCCTAACCTTCATTTTATTATGAGCAGCAGGGTTATTGGATGAGCTGCAGAGATTCCCTAGTGAAAAAGAATAATCCCCCTAAAAATTGTGTACTACAAAAATCTTGTTTTTATGGGCTCAAACGGTCCTGCATAACGCCACCTTTTAAACCTCATACATTTGGCATCACTTATAGAAATTTAGTATTTAATATAGTATTTAATATAATTTAATATATAATTTAACATATAATAATTTAATATAGTATTTAATTTAGTATATAATATAGTATTTAATATAGTTTGAAATTCCTAGTTGTGAACTTCTTCACTAACAATGGCAATAAAACCGATTCTGATTCTGATCTGTAGTGAATTGAAAATTTGCAGGTACAAACTCCTTTTAAGAAACCTTTAATGACAGTAATACCGTCCAATTAGAAATATATTATATCTGTCGTCACACGTTCCAGCCAATCAGAGGAGGAGTAGGGCGGGACCTCCACGGTGGACATTCCCCTGCACAGCTACTCGTTCTGCCCAGTTCGATCGGCAACGGGAGCGGAAAGAGGAAAGCTGAGAGCCCGAAGGCAGTAAGCCCCCCACCACCGCCGGCCCAGGTTACCATCTAGCACCGGGAAAATAGCAGAGAGCCGCCGCCGGCAGAAGCCTTTACCAACGAGTAGTGAACATGAGCAGCGAGGCCGAGACGCAACAGCAGCCTCCGCAACCCGCTGCGGATGCGGAGAGCCCATCCAGCCCGGCAGCCGCAGCTTCCGCGGGGGATAAGAAGGTCATCGGTAAGGCTACCGAAGCTAGTTGGGCTAACTAGGCTGCTAACGTGCTTTCAGTTACAGTAGGGCGATCCCCGCTGTCACCACTACTGGCTGCCGTTAAATTAAACGTTAGTGGCACATAAACCTTAAATTGACCAGTAACGTACTATCATGGAAAAAATAAATAATCCATGTTCTTCACTAGTTCATGTGTATTATTATATACGTTATTAAATCGACCGTTGTGTGTTTTTTTTGTACTTGAGCTGTATCACATTTATTTCATGACTGGTGGCGAAACGCTGCATAATTTAGAATTAGATAGTAGTTTTATACTTTAAGATCGTTTCTATGTTAATAAACCGTTTATATGTTAGATTCGTTGTAAGTAGATGAGTCAGTTGTCCGGGAAAGCATGACTTAAGCATGGGGATCTGATTCGTTCAATCGTCGGGGCCTCCTTCGGTCAGATGTCCGCTTGAGAGACCCATCCATCGGCCGTCACATGGGCGATCGTTAAAGCTTTCCAGTCGGTCTCAAAACCAAACGGTTCATTTATACACGAACGTTGGAGACGTTAGGTTCCGCGAGTTAACCGTCAGACGGTTGAACTTCACCCGTTTCTGGTCAGTTCAAGTGCAATTTTCTGACTTATTATTTCATATTAACCATTTAAGCTAGGAACGTTAGCTGGTTAACCATCTCTTTGTTCAGTCGAAGTGAGTCTGCTCGTTTGAAATATTTTAATCCAACAATTGCAAAACGCAACCATTTGTCCTGTATGATTGACCATAATGTCAGAATAACGGCGCTACTAACGTCTATCAACGGTCGTGTCATTTTAGGTCAAATTTCAGTGTTAACAGTCTGGCCTGTATACAAACCCAACCGAGCTAAAGATGCTATTAGAGCCTAGCCGGCTATTAGCAGCTACGTTCAAGGCGTTTGAGGCCCCCCCAAAATGTCCGACAGGGGTTTCCACCTTTTTCTCCAACCGGTGGTATTTTCGCTGAAGGGTTTCTAAATTATCACACCGTCTATCCTTTCACGTTAAAAATAAATAGTCCACGTATAAATTGTTGATAGTTTCGGTTTACTGGCTCCCCCTCAGCCACATGGTTCAAAGTCTCTCCCAGCTAGCTATGCTAACACATCCGGGTACGGCTCTACCACGTGTGACTGCTCTAGCCCTTAGTTGTGTTTAGATCAGGTTGGACAGGACTGCTAATTGGGCCAGGTGAAGGCGAGGTTTCACATAAACAAAATGGGTTCGCAGAATTTCAGCTCGTATAGAAGTTCAACTATATTTTAAGATCTCAGCTATACATTCATCTTAAAATAGTATACTTGGAACGCATGATGCCTCAAAATAAATAAAGTGAAATGCTAGTGAATATATATGGTAACCCAACCTTTATTTTTCATTCTAAGCAAGTGATTTGGACTATTAAATAGAATTATATGTTTAGCTTAATAAAAATAACTTCTGGTTCTTACTAGGAGAGAATAGGAGTAAATGGATACCATGGTATGTATGGCTTCTCCCCACATAGATTTTAGTTTTAGGCATGGATTGTTGCAGGTAGTCTATAAAAGAGACAAATTGGTGAGCTACTGTTCTATTTCACTACAGAACCCTTTTAGTGACGTGGTTATTTGTATCATTTGTCCATCAAGCTGCTTGTTATGGCCTGTTGCTGAGGTGTTCATAAAGAGACACCCCCCCCCCCCCTACAGACTTGGCTCCCATTTAGAGCAGCTGGTGCTGGGAATTCCTAAGCATCCAGATCTATAATAAGAATGACAGTTGCAGGTTAAAAATAACTTTGCCTTAATATGTGGCCTTGGTTAGCTTTTAATTATTATAAGTGAGCACATTTTTCCAGTCGTTTAATATTTTTTGGTTGATTTGTGGCATATATTTAAACTCTGTGGCACTGGAAGCTTAAATGATTTAATAATCAAGCTTGTTTTAATTTCATTACAGCAACAAAAGTCTTGGGTACAGTCAAATGGTTCAACGTCAGGAATGGATATGGTTTCATCAATAGGTAAGCGAGAGCTAAGCTCCATCCATTATTCCTAGAGGCTGCTGATATAATGCACGTGAGTGGCTGGAAGATGGTTCCCAATCCTCTTGCAGTTTTGCTAGTCTCACGGATTTGACCAGATTATGTTTTCTGCTCGTCTCCATACTGTAGCCGCCCACAGTCCTACATTAATCCTTACTGGCTTAGTTTAATTCGGTTTAGAGGGACATTCTATTGTGTGGTTCAGGAGGACACTAACTTTTGTTCATTTTTTTAGGAATGATACAAAGGAGGATGTCTTTGTACACCAGGTAAGCCATAGTTTATGTTTGCCTGATTTTTGTCATTCAGTTTATAAAAGTTCTCATCCAAATATTTAATATTTTCAGACGGCCATCAAGAAGAACAACCCGAGGAAATATCTCCGCAGTGTTGGAGATGGAGAAACTGTGGAGTTTGATGTAGTGGAGGGAGAGAAGGTAGTTTTTTTTTTTGGGTTTATTTTGTTTTTTCTTGACAGAAAGCCATAAATAATGAGTAAATGTATTGTCGCTTGACATAGGGAGCAGAGGCAGCTAACGTCACTGGCCCAGGAGGCATCGCAGTCCAGGGAAGCAAGTATGCGGCAGACAGGAACCGATACCGTCGCTACCCACGAAGGAGGGGCCCACCCCGCGGCGGAGACTACCCAGAGAGCTACCATAGCGACGAAGGCGAACCTGGCAACGGAGGACGAGACAAGAGCAGAGAGGGGGCTGACAACGCCCCCGAAGGAGACGTGCAACAACAGCAGCGAAGACCAGGTTACCCTGGCAGACGGCGCTACCCGCCATACTTTGTACGTAGACGCTACAATCGCCGGCCCCCGTACACCAACGCACCACGCGGAGAGATTACTGAGGTACGCCGTCAGAGGGCTACTCTCTTGAAGCAGGCACCCAGTTGATCCACGACTTAAGTCTGAACAGCTGATTTTCGTTGTACCCTCTCCTCTCTAACAATCACGTGGTTGTGATCAACAAATCTTGGTGTATCGGGGGTCTTAATATTCTCAAATAGGCCCCACATTTCAGCAGAACAACATGACAGAAGTCACACATTACACATTATGCAGATTGTCATCTGATATTTCTGAAGTTATTTTGAGTGTTCTGCTTCGTCTTCTCAGTCTGGTGAAGGTGATGAAGGCCAGGGAGGTCCAGACCAGGGCAACAAACCAGTGAGGCAGAACTACTACAGAGGCTTCCGACCAAGGTTCAGACCAAGGTTTGCATGTTGGCTTTGTTGGCAGAGGGTAGCATTGTGAGCATAGCAAAGCTTTGCATGTATCAATTTAAAGATTGCATGAATTTAAACTTTATACTAACAACTGCTTCATGCTGACAGTGAATGTTGCACAGTTAACAGAGTAAATAAAATTCTAATCCCAATGTGCTGCTGGATGCTTGTGGGACTGCATGTTGTCTATGGGACTGGTGTGGTTGTTACTGTTTTATTTTCTGGTGCCGTTTATTGTTCTTTTAAACTTGTTCTGTACAACCTAGGGGTCCACCCCGTCCCAGACCGGTGCGGGACGGTGAGGAGGACAAGGAGAATCAAGGCGGTGAAGGTGGGCAGAATCAACAGCCCCGCCAGCGGCGCTACCGTCGTAACTACAACTACCGCCGCAGACGCCAAACAACTGGTGGCAAACCAGGCCAGGAAAACAAAGAGGCCAAGACAGGAGGTGACCCATCTGCAGAGAAAACGTCCGCTCCCGAGGCCCAGCAGGGTGGGGCCGAGTAGGAAACAACCTGCACACCGGCACCTACCATCTTGTACCATCGTCCGGGTAAGTTTGGAGTCTGATCGGCTCATGTAAGATGTTAGCTGGCTGTCAGTGGACTGAGTCTCTGCCTCCTCTTTTCTTGCAGTTTTTCGTTTGTCAACAAGAAGAAACATCCAACAAGATCTGAGCAATAAAGATTTGACTCTTAAAGACCGTCACAAGCTTGCACCATGCATTTGACCAGATTACCACTGATTGCCTGCAGAATCTATGCAGACTTGTTTTCTTTTCCCATTATTTTTATGTGACAGCTACAAAACATTTTGGGGAAACAACAAATGTTTTTCTAAATCTGTCCTAAGTTTTTACACCAAATGGTTTTTAAAGATAAAATTTGATATCTGGTCAGTTTGACATTTTTAAATAACTTTTTATGTATTCAGACATTTTAACAAAATGCAAGCTCAAATAAATCTTCTGAAACCAGGAGAGCTGTTTTTGAGTCTTTTATTTTACTCAAGTATATAGGCTATAGACATAAGGTTGATGTTTAACTGTCACATTTTACCATATCAAGGCTTTGGTCCTTTTCTTCAATCTATTTAAACCATATATGGCACCATATGAAGACATGTCACGAGTATAAAGCAATAGATTCCTTGGGGTTGCAATGTATGAAAAGAGGCTCAGTCAGTTTAAAAGAAAAAGAATTTCCAGGGTTCAGTTCGATTCCCCAGACGAGCGGTGTGTGTACGAGTCTTCAGCAGTGTTTATTTCATCTATAGCTTCTGGTGGCATAATGGGGCCACCTCATTTAGACGTTGGTCTCTTTGCGCAAACGCTTCATTCGTTGTACGTTGCTCTCCATGGCGTCGGGATTGGTGATCTCAGTGGCACAACTAGCAGGAAACCAGCCTCGCTCTCCATCTCTCATTCTCTCACCATAGCACCATTCTAGGCAAAGCAAAACAATTCTAAATTAAAAAATAATGGCAGACAATAACAAAGACTGACCCTAACTGTGATGAAGCACAGCAGGCCTCACCTTCTTCCTTTTGGAGAACAATGACCAGCTCGGCTTGTCGTAGGCCGAGTTCATCCGGCTCTTTAGGCATGTATGTTTTGGTGACTTCGTACTGCGGTAGCCCTGAAACAAATTCCCATTTAACAAAACAGCCAAAAGTGTTATCACTTTTAATAGTAAAGCTTTACAAATTGTGATGCTTTTGGTAATGGATTACGATATGAAATTTTTACATTTCATATTCTTTAGATTTGGACCACTTTATCTGGTGAATGATAAATCCAAGTTCCTTTAATAGCCTGCTCCTTGATAGTAGAATTCTCTGAGAGTTTAGGTCTGTTCTGTTCAGCATTACCTTTGTCATTAAATAACACAGGTTGCAAAGCATCTCCATCATACTTGTCAGCAGAGAGGAGCAAGAAAAACCTCTTGGTAGAGACGAAAGAGCTCTTTTTTTCCCCTCATTTTTTTCATAATAAATTAGCCAAGCACAGATAGAAAAAAGAGCTTTTGGATAACAATAAGAAACAAACGGCTTCAAAATAGTACTATGCAGTCATGAAGTAAAAATGGTGAAATACTTCTATCTAAATTATCAACACTTGTAACATATTTACCCAGCTTCTTTTTTTTGTTTAATAAGGATCCTTGGAAGTTCTTCAAACCAAATTTCCTCAGACCTAATGCTGTTAGGGACAGTATCTAGAGCTCACAATCAATAGAGCTTTTTTTTTATTTTTAATGGAGTCAGGTGTATTACCCATCTGTTTAGGATTTAAAGGGCTTAAAATGTGCATATGAATGTCATCGTGGCATTGGGACTTACCATCTGTGCAAGCAAAGACCCCTTCCTGCTTCTGCTCTTTTAGAGCAATTATCCATCGCGCCCGGTCCATCCTTGGCAAAACAGAGCAGGAATAACAATGAAGTCTGTTTCCCATAAAAAGGCTGCAGATGTTAAATAATTTTTGAAAAGCAACAATTGTGTCAGCAGAGGGAGCCAAAGCCAAAAAATATGCTGTTTCTAAATAAATACAAGTGAACAATGATTAATAACTATTGTGTTGTTATATTTTTTATTATTTAGGAGACCCAGACTAGATAATCAGCGCTTCAAAAAAAGGCACATTTTACAACATCCTCTGGGTTCTTAACAGGGTTTGTAGAAATGATGTCTGCCATACCTAGATTCAGCCACCAGGGAGATTTGCTCTAATTTCCCCTCACTGTTCTTGCTCATCCGCAGCTTGAAGGAAAGGTAGTGGGAGTTGTTTTTGCCAGGCGAAGACGTCCGTACTTCTGCATCCTCTCCCAACTGGACCTGTATGTTATCCAGAGTGGCATAGTCCAACACTACGAAGCTCTCCTCACTATATGTACAAACAATAAGAGAATCAATGGGGTTTTAGAAAGCATTTTCTCCACTTCACTAAAATAAAATACACTGACTAAAACATATTTCCTCCTTAACAATTGCTGACTTAAAGCCATTATAATGACTGCAGTGTTGTGGGCAATTCCTTTCTCTGAGCTCACATTGTTTTCTCTCTCCCTAATTCAAAACAGACAGCTGAAGTCAGTCAAGCTGACACGCTGAATGAAGAATCTGAAGTATGCATCCACTCCTGTCCCCTTACTCTCCTCTTTCCTTATGTTCCCTGGAAGCAGCTGGATCTGTTCACTGGCCACAGGGGACCGTGACTCAAACAAAACATTTACTCAAACTCTTATTTCTATGTAACTAAAAGTTACTATATGTAACCTTAAGTTGACCACATTAGATTGCATATCTTTCACCCCGTGGTTATAAGAATTAAACACTCTTATAGTTTTGTACTTTTAATAAATCCAAAATATATGAAACAAACAAATATGCATGTATTGTATTGTAGTATACTGTTATAGACCAACCTGATTATGTATGAGATACAGGATGGGTTTTAAAATGTCACATAATAACGTGAAAGTGGTGGACATCTGTCTTCAGCCCTGAAGCTGACTTTTAATGTCTGTCTTTACTGATGTTGCACATTCAGAGTAATGTCTGCTGTTTTGTATTTTCCAGATAGGTCATGCTTAGAAGAGCATCTGTGAATAATAAAATTGCAAGTCTTTTCATAGCTTCTAAATTGGTTTTGACTTGGCCCCCCTAGCACACAAACATGCTAACTAAAACGTTCAAAGATGCATTTCCACTATTGCTCTAACTACTTTCAAATCAAATGTATGAAGGAAGCTTCACTGTTCCTGCTGAAGATGAAATACCCACAGCATGATGCTGCCACCACCATCCTTTGTCACAGCAGGGGTGGTTTAATAAAGCCAATGAGTTGGGCTCTCATTACAGATAGAACTCTGCATCCAGGCCATAAAGTTAGACTTTTCATCTCATTGTTTTTTTACGAGTTTACATGTCTGCACACAGCTAGACTTAACTATTTAGATTAGTTAGTTTATTTAGAGGTATCATATCCATGTGCAACTTTAATTATTTTTTTTTTCACATCTAAAAGAAATATGATGGATATGCATCCATTTAACTACACCTCATATTTTCTGCTACTTTGTGTTGCCGTATTACTTGAAATAATTCAAAATAGATTTAAGTGTAGGATTTGATCATAGATTTTGGCTTTGTTTGTGATTTCCTTTGCTTATTAAAATAAAGGGTGATGATGGCTTGGAAATGTTTTTTTATAAATTATAAAAATCATTCTATAATCGCCTCTTGTTGCAGCCTGTTACCAGCTACCATTAAAGGACTAATGACATATATTTGCATCTTTGCAAATCTATCACATAATTTATCACTAGTGATATACCAAGAGATTTTCCTACATATATAGTATATTTTAATATTTTGTTATTAAAATGCACACGTTTAAGGGTCTTCACATCTAAGCTGATCATAATAGAACTGTTTGTACTCACGACTTCTTTTTGGTAACAATCAGCACATCATTAAAGAGAAACAAGTAGTAGCTCCTGGTAGTGAAAGCCTTCCAGATGCTGAGCTCTTCGCTGGAGACGGCCAGCTCTCCACGCTTCTTTATCCATCGGGATGCCGACACCAGAGGAAACGGCTGGAGGGAGAACATTTGATAGGGGACACAACTGAAACTCTTATGGATGATGGATAAACTGATTTATGTGACATGTGATACAGCGAGCTGATAAAAGATTAGCCTACCTTTATTTTTCCAAAATCCATCTGTTTTTGGATGGTGTACATCTGCTCTGTTCTTTCCATCCGCCTTGCTCCGTCATTGCATTCAGTAACCAACTGTTGACATAGTTGTAGAAAAATATGTTATCAAAATCCTGTCAAGACAATAAAAGCAGTTTCTTCAGATCAGTCTAAGTCAACTTCAGCATACATACCTTGCTCATAGCATTGAGGGCCCAAACAGCAGCAAAGTACTCTGCAGACTGTGCCTGAGTTTTCTGACAGATTGTCTGAGGAGAAAGAAAAACACGAATAGATTAGAATAAACAAATAGCTTTATATCAAATAACTCCATGTCTTGGAGTGGCATGTGCAAATTTAAAAATCATCACCAGTTTGAAATAAAATAAAAACATAATTAGACCAAGGAGCTGCATGTTTCAGATCAAACACATCTTAATAAATAAATATAACCTGAGTAAATAAAAGGCAATTTGATTTTTAAAAGGGATTCAATGCAACTTATCTCCTTGTGCTCAATTAGGTATAAAAATCAATGAATAAATCAGGCCCTGAGATTGAAGCAATTGTCCTGATGAGGTGAGCAGGTTATAAAAGGTGATTTTCATGACTGGAAACAATAGACGGTGCTAAACTGCCATTTGAAAAATAAAGAGATAAGAACAAAAATTTCTTTCCAACAAGCAAATATGGAGTGTTTCCATTTTATAATGTATTTCATATTTTACTTTGAAACCCACAGCAATAGAAATCTGCTACCAAACGTTACAATCAACTAGGGCTGCAGCTAACAATTATTTTACAAATCGATTCATCTGTCAATTTTTTCAATTAATCAATGAAACAGATAAGGTTGTTTTTTTTTATCTTAAATGCAAAATGTTCTAATTTCTTTTTAGGTTTTTGATATAATTACTGCTCTAAGTTTGTCGCTCTGTCTGCTAAAGGCATATATTACAGTCTCTATACTCCAGGTAACGATTAATCGATTACTTAATTAGCTGACGATTGTTTCAATAATCAATTAATCACGATACATTTTTTCTGCCCTACAATCAACACCTGTTATATAAACCTGTTCACAGTTCCTTCACAAAAAACCCAACTACATTGACAAAACCCTGTTAACATGCTTCTATTACAGTCTTTGTATTTTCATTAGCTTAAAATTAAAGATTAAACTTACATCCAGCAGAAGTGGTAGTCTGGTTACACGCTGCATGGGCAGGATGAGGAAGGAGAGCATGGGCAGACCTCCACATTCGCTACTGGACTCTATTTCTTTCAGGGTCTCTTTGAAGGCAGTGTTATTATTCCTGAGACACATAAAAAGAATAAAGTTCAGCTTCATCTTTAGGCGCCGATCTAGGAAGTCATCGGCTTGTGCAAGGTTCTGCCACTCACAGCAGTGTTTGCAATGTCCTCTGCTGAAAGGTCTCATTGGAGCAGTAGACGATGTAAGGCTCGAAGTGGTGCGCGGCGTGGTTCTGAACAATGTCGCTGATGTCCCGGATCAGCAGCTGATCATTGTGACGATTTTCGAGGTCCTTAAAAAAACTGAAAATAATGAAAGTGGCAGATTATTTTTGATGCAAAATCAAATATAGTTCTTTAAGAGAGCAATCACCAGAGCAGGTTTATTCTGACCAGTTCTAGATCTACATTTTAGGCTCCACAGTGCTTAGGATAATGCATATTTCTTTTAGAGGTGAATATATCCACTCTAACTATGGAAGACCAGCAGGGATCCACAGCTCAAGTGGTGCAGCCTGTCAATAGGACAGCTTTTAGTTGTCCATTCAGCAGGAATCGCTTGAAGAAAGTCAAAAGAAGTTATGCAGGTAGTTTTTCATAAACAATAAGGGGTAACTTTACACTTGTGAATGAAGAGGAAATGTACTCTGTTGTGGTGGATAATTAAAGCTTAAGCACAGCATTCTCACGATGTGGAAAGCCTTGTACTTTTGGGATGTTATTATTTGTAAGAAACAGAAAGAAAGATTGGAGTTTATGTGACGATGAAAGAAGCTTATTAAAAGGAAATCTTGAAAATAAATCTATTAAAAGCTAAAACATACAAAACTTGAAACAGGGGTTTTTAGATTCCCCTTCCAGGAGTACAGAGAGCCAAAACCTAGAGCTGAAGTTTGGTAGATTGGTTTAGTTTGGTTTAGTTTAGGCACAAATCCGTTTTGAGAAACCTGAAATTTGATGTTCACGGATGTTTTCATCCAATCCGACTAACTTGTTAAGCTATTGAAGAACGTGCAGAAAAAGGCAGTCACATATGCAAAGCAGAGGAAAGCTGTTATCAAAAGATCGGGAGGTTTAATTATGAGAAAGGATCCATAATCTACCGCCTAGGAGGCTCAACATATACAAAAAAGTTATTTTCTGAATTTTGTTCTTTAAAACCTTTATCGTGTTTCTTCCTTTGTGCAATTAGGCAAAAATAACAGTTAAGCACATTAAACACAATGATGATTTAACTGCTATTTAGAGGGGAAAAGAAACTTTGCATCAAAAACAATTACTGAAGTTAGAATAACATCTATGAAGACTAAAAGGTTCAAATAATCACAGACTGTTAAAATTCTGTAAAAGGCTTTCCTAGAAAAGAAATGACTCCAAATGTTGACCTTTCCAGCAAAAACGTGTAAATTGACACTGAGAAAAAAACAACCCCACCCACGGACCCAGATACTTGTCAGTTTCCCATACAGAAACTGTAGGTTTCTGTTATTTATCCCCATAGAAGCTTCCATTGTGTTTTTTTCTTTGGATTCCGCCGTACCTTGGCTTTGAAACAAGAGAGAGAGCATTTCGCCTTTCATTCAATGTTTTCTACTTTCATTGAAACTGAATTACACGGCAACAAACAAAGTATACCTGGAAAAACATTATAATTTCAAAGCGCAGGGATACCACTCAGAGCGGCAGAACCAGTTTGGCCATCAAGTCTTAACATGTTTACCAGGACTACAGAATACTAAAGATATGCTAAGGCATATACTTTGTGAACATAAACTTCAAATAGACCCCCCCCCCCCCCCCCACCTGTTCACAATAATCTCAGCCGGGAATATAAAACACCCCTTGTCAATGAATATTATATCAGGCGGTTGATCAAATGTTCAGTTCGTCCCTACTGATAAGATCATCGCAACCCTGATGACACCTTAAGAGAATCGCTACTTCAACATATTTCAAATACCTTACAAATTTTACAAACCCCCTTTTTTTATTTCATTGTTACATCAAAATTAGTCAGATTAGATCATTAAAAAGGGACATTTTCAAGGAGATGAGCTATCCAATCAAACCTGGTCCTATTTAACAATATAACATACTATCCTATGTTCAAATCATAGCTAAATTGTCATAGCCTTTAGTTTTTGGTTCAGTATAACTAGCCATGTAGAAACCTAATTGGAGTGGAAACAAAAAAAATATTGAGAAGAACTTGTCTGACAGCATGAAGTAGGCTTTAGAGATCTAAAAAAGCAATACGACAATGACCTCAAGAACGGATGAGAAACAGAATAAATGATGTCAGTCAGAAAAGAGCTACAGTTTCTAAAGCTTTGAGTCTTAAACTGTATATTCACAAACCACCTCTAATTCTATTACGTGGTCGGCATAGCAGATCTACCCCAATAATGCAGGGATGAGTTAAAGGCCTCCTTTGCCTTAGTAAAGGTCAGGGTTCAGATATTTAAATGACATTCATTCAACAGCACAGAGGCTCTTCTTATCTTGGCCGAAAAACTATTTGATTATCCTCAGCATTTCTTTAAAAGTAATATGAGGGGTGGTGATAGAAAACAGCAACTGTTTCCATTTTTAGACCCATAAACCATGAGCTCTGTATTATAGCAAAATGTCTTTAAGAAAAATATCCCACCACCTGTCCAAAAATTGAAGGTGAAGTACTCACTGATGTGAGGGGAAAAAATGAAGGTTTTGAATTGACCAAGACTAATTCAGGTTTTATAATCCAACTGAGATGCTGTGGTAGGTTTTTAAACCAGATCAAAATTCCTCCAATGTGGCTGGATAGTGATTTTCCAGAGCAAAGTGAACTAAAACCTTTTTAAAGACTCAGTCAAGAGTTACTGCAAACTTTTAAGGGCTTGATTAGGTTTCAAGAGTATTTTCTTTCCTATTGGACCAGATTAGGTTGCAGAGATATCCTAATTTAATAAATCATAATCTCTTACATCTGCTTGTATTTACTTAATCTGTTCTGATGGTCGGAAACATTTAAGCCTAAAGAAAAAATAAAAATAGAAGAAATCTATAAAAGTTCATCAGCAGAATGTTAACATCTGTGGGTGATCCGTACAACAGCAGCAAATACTGTAGAAAAATGCAAGACTTGATCCATTTCAGGGTTTTGTTGAACAAACCGTTGGCTAACTGTGTGGATGACAGATATGTTGGAGAAGAGGTGGTGGTGTTCGGTGGTCGTCATGGTTTTCTTCAACTCTGCGCTGTTCTTGAAGTGACGTACCAGGATGCCAAGGCTGTGCAGGTATGAATGCTCTGAGGTGATAATTTCAAAAATGGCCTGGAAAACAACCACACACACACATCAGTAAACTCATAAAAAACAATGTTTTATTTTTCTGTTGGAAAGAACCTGATGCAAAAGCAACACTTTTCTCTGCATTTGGTTGTTTTAGGTCATGATAAAAGCATGTTTAGTTAGCCACAGGGCAGTAATGTAGCCAGCAGGGAGAGAAATCATGTGATTTCTATCACACCTTGGTCAACATTTCCACTTCTTCAGGTGAGGTGGCTGAGGGGACCAAAGGGCATAAACGCCACCTGATCAAGTTACAGGCTTTAATTCTCTGCAAAAGCTCGGGAAACTTTTAGAGGTAAAAGTACCTGCAATGAATGTCTTTTTGAGTGAGTTTCATCAACACTAGAAAAAGACCCATGAGACACTAAAGGCACCAAAGAACAAACTGAGACCCTGATCAGAGAGCTGTAAAGCACCATTATACAGGCAGGGAGTGGCACAGCAGAGCACACAGTGTGGACCTTGGTATTGACATCTTGGTCTGCTGTGAAAGACGCATTACAAAGGAAATCCATTGACAGATAGTGTTACATTACAGTTTCAGTTTTTGCTTCACTGAGGAATGCCGTTTAGTGAGTTTTTGCATGAACTACTTCTCAATTTGGGCTCCTGCTTCTGTTTCTTTGCACTTCTGAGGAGCCGTGGCAATCTGCTGCCAGGAAACGTACAACACAACCTCCTTAGTCATTTTTTGGTTACAAAAAATATCAATCCCATCCATCACAATTCCCTTTTAAAAAGACGGCCAGATTACAGTCAAGTATAAATGTATGCATCTGTGCATTCAAAGGAAAATGAATAAATACTAAATAAAAAATACTTTGACACTGGTAACTGGCAGTTTCCTCTGAGCTTCAGTTTTTCAAAGGTATTTGGCCCCCATGAACTTTTACCTTTTACATCATTTAAAGCTTCATTCTTGAAAACAGAAAATCATAATTATTTGTGAAGAATCAACAACAATTGGGACACATAATGAAGGGGAATTCAAGTTATTGGATATTTTTAAACTTTAACAAATAAAGGAGAAATAAAGAAGAAATTGGATGTGCAAAATTATTCAGCCTCCTTTAGTAAACACTTTGTAGCTCCACCCTTCTAATCGCTTGAGGTTTGTCTCTATCAGTTTTGCACATTGAGAGACTGAAATTTTTGCCTTTTCTTCCTTATAAAGCAGCTGGAGCTCAGTGAGGTTGGATGGAGAACAGCAGCTTTCTGCTCTTTCCACAGATTCTCGATGGTATTCAGGTTCCATTTTGAATCTTTTGCAGACTCCAACAGGTTTTCACCCAGAATGCTTCTATATTTGGCTCCATCCATCTTTCCATCAATTTTAACCACCAACCCCGCCCTGCTGAAGAAAAGATGGCCCGAACCATGATGCTGCCACCATCATGTCTGACAGTGGGGATGGCGTGTTCATGGTGATGAGGTGTGTTGCTTTTATGCTAAATATAATGTTTTGCATTGTTGCCAAAATGTTCAGTTTGGTTTCATCTGACCAGAGCACCTTCTTCCACATGTTTGCTGTGTCTCCCAGGTGGCTTGTGGCAAACTTTAAATGAGATTTTTTTAATGGATATTTTTAAGAAATGGCTTCCTTCTATAAAGACCAGCTTTGTGTGGTATACAACTGATTGTTGTCCCATGAGCCTCTTGACTGCATCTCTAATCAGTCTTCTCCTTGTTTGAGCTGTTAGTTTAGAAGGACAGTTGGGTCTTTGTAGATTTGCAGTGGTCTGACACTCTTTCCAATTAAATATTACCGCTTTCACAGCGCTCCTTTGGATGTTTAAAACTTGAGAAATACTTTTGTATCCAAATCCGGCTTTAAGCTTCTCCACAACAGTATATCTGGCCTGGTGCATTCCTTGTTTTTCATGATGCTCTGTGCTTTAAACAGACCTCTGACACTATCACAGAGCAGGTCCATTTATACAGAGAATTGATTACACACAGTTGGATTCTATTTCTCATCATCAGTCATTTAAGTCAACATTGGATCATTTAGAGATCCTCACTGAACTTGATTTGTTAAAAAAGGTTAAAATATCCAATAAATGTCATTCTAATTCATGATTGTGTCCCACTTATAAATTCTTTACAAAGAATTACAGAATTTTATACCTTTATATATGAAGCCTGAAATGGGGCAAAAGATTGAAAATTTCAAGGAGGTCAAATACTTTCTCCAGGCACTGTATAAAACAAAATGGCACTACTGCATTAGTGGCATTTAATTTTGGATAAATGAAAGTAGAACAAAAATTCCAAACTTAAAAATGAGCAGTTTTAGAGAAAACTATATATATTTTTAAAATGTCTAATTTTTAGCCTTATGCATGTGAAAATATGTAAAAAGCCCACATCTATAGGGTGTGAGGGAAAATGCTTTTCCAAGCGCTCACCTCTTGCCTTTTTCTCTCCTGAGGTGTGATTTTGGACAGAATACCAGATTCCTTCACCTTCACAAAACAGAAACAAGAGGTAAGTCTTCACCCCATTTAGATTTAATATAAGTACAAATATACAAATATTTTACAATCAGAAAAAAAAGTATTTATTCTGCAGTTCTGCAAATGATAAAAATCCCAATAATCACAACAACATATTATAAACTAAAGCTGCTAGTTCCTAGATTTGACTTAATTTGCTGATCCAATCTTAAGGTTTACCTGCGGTAACTGGCTCCATGTGAGGTGAGCTTGTTTGTAGCTCTTCATTACAATTCCCTGATCCTGTTCAGGAGGCTCCACCACCACAAAGTCCTCAAGCAGCTCATCCTGGTTGGTGGAATGAAGCCCGCGCTCTCGGATCTCCTGGTACAGGCACGGTTTGGCTGGAAAGTGAACAGACATCAAAATAAAGATCTTTTTAAAGATGTGCCATGGGGTAGTCTCCATGACTAAATCTCAGTATCAAATGTCAGTTATTTCCCAGTTTATAAACCCAATTTAACAAAGCAGACAAAGTGACACGTGAGTGAACATACCGTCTTTGAATGATCCACGCTGGTTCCTCTTTCGGCCAAGGGTACGCTAGGGAAGAAACGGCAGCACAGACTTTATTCATGAATTGTGTGTTTTAGTCATAGACTTGCATAGAGAAGTACGCTAATAAAGATCATGAAGATGGGAGAGTTGTTGAAAATATATCAACATGGTTTTCACAGATGTTCTATGTAAAATATTAATACCATTTAATAGCGATATTTATTGCTGACTCAAGTTTTTTTTTATTATTTTAAAAAACTGGTTAATTTGCTATAATCCAAATCTGGAAACAACTTAAATTTTTTCTAGGTTGCATAAAAACTCTGGATCTTTGTTCCATTAAGCAGTGAAAAGTCGACATCACCACTGGCACTATAGGCTAAACTGATTGCGACTGATGTAAAAATGAAAAATGAAACCAGAGGTTCAGCTAGTGTCATCATATGAAACAACTGATGTCTGAATCAGACTGAAGTACAATAATAATATATAAAAAAAAAAACATATGATGGGTGACCTTAAATAAAGAATTTCCTATTAACTTCTAGTTTATTTAAACAGATTCTTTTAGAAATATTTACACTGCTGGGAGATCACCTTTAACTGCATTTACTGACACATATATTAAACCAAAGATAATTTTGTTAAGCTTGGTTACCTCAAACTAAAGGGTAAAAGAAAAGAAAAAAAGCTCTTCTCTTTTCCCACACTGTTTGTACCTTCTGTCTCCTACTGTGCACAGGACCGGGACTGCTTTCTCTGTTTTCATCAACCGGTTTCAGAGTGGGTTTATCTGCTGTCCCGGCTGTCATGGCTTCAATGTCCAGGCTGGTCACCGCAGCTCGGTATGACTTGTTCCTGCGGTTCCTCCTGAAGGCAAATCCCTCTCCATCACTATCATAATCTTCCCAGGAAACATCTGGACCCTGGGTTGAGTGACGGCTGCGGTTCTCATTGCTGGAGTTCTCCAGTCCCACTGGGAAGGTCACCACCGTGGTGTGATGGCGGTTTTTGGGCCGGCTGGACACTGCCAAGCCCTTGGGAAACAGCTGCTGGGCCCCAAGCTTCTTTGCTGCAGGGCTCTCTGTACTTAGAATTACCTTTTGGCTCTCAGGCTTCTTTGCTGCAGGACTCTCTGTGCTTAGAACCAACCCCCTGTCCACTGTGTCTACCTGCAGAATGGCTGTTTCAGACTGGGGTGCTGGTGGGCTTTTGGGTATGTAGCCTTCATCTCCTGGCTCGTATATATGAAGCTCTGTGGAAAAGAGAGTCTCCACTTGAGGGGACTTGTCCATGCACTTCTCTGACTCACTGTGGGACATGGTGTCCTACTGTCAGCCTCCTCAGTTCCTCACCACCTACAGCATCGAAGGAAACTAAAGAAGAAAAGCAAACAAATTGGAAAATATTAAAATTGCTGCAAAAAAATAATATATTGACCATCAAAGGTAATCTTAAATTGCTCATAGACTTTTTTTGACATCTCAGGATCTAGGTTTTCAGTGGAAATAAGTTACCAAGTCATATGAAGGGACTTGACCCATGACTCACGACTCCCACTCACATAGAAACACACAAACATGTAGAACCTCTCATTTCAATCTCTTAAACAACCAAAAAAAACAAACTCACACTCTTTCTGATAAATGTCCCAATCCAACTCCTCCAGGAGGTGGTTAGTAAACCCATTATTAAGAAGACAAAAAAAACTCCGAATGTGTTATTAAAGCCTTAAACTAACATGCACAAACATGCAGAAGAAACTAGACCAATGTTCATGCTGCATTTAACCTTAGAGCAAATTAACTAATAGATTCAAACAATATTTCTGTTTAGTTAACTTGAGTTACTTACAATACCAAATAATGTCGCGAGACAGACGGATTAGGTTGAGGGAGGAAAAATGTCCGCCTCAGACTCCCATAGTCAGTAGATCCAAGCAGACCGCGCGCAGATAGACTCAGCTGCTTCACCTGGAGAGGTGCGCCTCAAACTGTAGCTGTGGTTCGGCGGGACGTCCGCGGCGGTATACCTGATAGAGATGCGGTTCGTCTAAATGCGACTGTATTCCTCCGCCGCGCTGGTCCCTCGGCCTTCCTCTGTTTACGTCACTACAGGTGCGCGCCAATCAGGTTTGTTAAAAACAAGCCCGACAGCAAGCACCTTCCACCACTTGGATATTCAAGTTTGACAACCGTCCACCGAGATGGAGACGCAACACAACTCGAGGAGTTTGACACGTATTTTTTTTAAAACACATAAAAGGGAAATGAATTTTAATTGCAGTTATTCAAAAACACAAAACAAAACCGAAACCAAACAGTTTGAATTGCTTGTTAACTTTAAACTATGGAAGATATTCATGTATTTTTTGTTTCTGTTCTCACTCAATTATTTAAAACAAAGGCGCTTTGTCACATCCTGGTGTTGAATCTTATGTACTACACCCTATTCAAAGATTCCATGGCTGCAAAGGTTCCATTAGGAATTCACCTTAATAAACACAACCACCTTTTGCACACAGTCAAGTTATTGCTTGTTATTATTTTTTTGTGTGTGTGTGGCTGTACTTCCTTTATGTGCCTGGTGCGTGATTGCTTTATCAGGAAATGTTAGATTTTCTGATTAGATTTACTTTGAGGGACAAATTTTAGGTCCATTTTAAATAGTGGAAATTCTACAGATGTTTAGGGGATTTTTTTTTCTACAACCATATAACTACATTTTGCATAAATCATTGGACTTTTCCAAAGCAAATTGTCTTTTCGTGCAACGAAAGATAATAAACATATGCAAATCGTCTAATACCTTAACCAACAAGATACCTAAAAATGTACAATAGTTGTGAAAAATGTCTCTAAAATTCATATTTCGATACATTATTATTATAAATCAAGTCTATATAAAGTTTACTTTCCCTGCCCTATTAAAAAAAAACAACAAATTTTTAAGAGCAATTTTACTTCTAATGGTCTATCAATTTTTTTAAACAAACATAAATAATAAAAGAATGGAAACAGGCAACAAATAATTTTACAATATCCAAGGTTTATTTTGCTCATTTTTAACAATATGAAGTTATTATGAGAAGTGAACAAGCCAGCATTCTTTATTTGAGTGAGGCTAAAACATGTAATATTATGTAATACAGAAAAAAATTAATGAAAAAAAATCTAAGGGTCCTTATATACAGAGTTTATATATTTATATATGTATAGAAAATTGAATGGCATTGACATTTACACTTTTATTTTTCATTTTCATATATGGCATCTGATGAGAAGTAAGTCAGAATATTTCTGGATGACCAACCAAACACAACAGTATGCTTGACAGATTATCTGTGTAGAAAAAAGAGAGAACATTCTAGGAATGAATTATTGAGGGTATTTGCAATGATCTGGATTATAGCAAGGAAAAGATTCTTAAACAAAAATCTGCTGATTTTGTCCACTTTAAAAACTATCACCAAATATAAATGTTTCTAATGACCTTTAAAAAGTGCCTCCTTTCATTTTCTGCCCCACATTATTGAATATTGGTGTTTAGTAAACACAAAGATAACTAATACCCAATTTAACAAATATCTCAACATGACTTATTTAAATATTTGAATCCATTTATGACAACAGATTTTATCTTTAGGTTTAATGATAACTTTTAAGGTAAAAAAAAAAAAAAAATTCTTAAGTTTAATTTAAACTTGATTAGATCATCTAAAGACCACACCCTTGGTGTTTCAGGACCCTCAGAGGGGGTCCTGACCCAGACTTCAGAAGCCACTGCTCTAAAAACACAAACATAACTCTAATGTTTTGTGAGTTGTAAGAACATTTCAAAATATGGAAAAAGGAGGAAGGACTAAAATAGTTAAACAAAAGCTCTCTGAGTGTCTAATATTGAATCATACAGTACTTTGCAGAAGTCTTGATCATCTTCTACATGCATAGATTCTCAGCCACAGACAGGTTGATGCTACATTTGGACAAACTAAAGCACATAAATCCCTTACGGATATCAGTATAGTGTAGTATAGTGTATAGTGTATCAGTATAGAGACCGATTGGTCTCTATGATGTGTCAGGATTTGATTGATTCTTCAAACAACGTATTTTAACAATTTGGTCACATAAAAAAAAAAAAAAATACAAAACTAAACTTTGCTTTATTTTTCTAATAAAACAAACGAGACAGTTAAGTTAAAGTGATACTATCACCGTTCCAACCATTAATGAGCTGACATACAGTTTCATCTCTTTAGGGAGGGAGTTTAATAGAAATAACTGGCCGTAGTTTCTGCCAATAAACTGGCAGTATTTTAAAGGGTTTGCTCAAGTTTACTTGAGGTTCTGTTAAGAGGTTGCAAGAAGTTAATATCTTGCCAGCAGCAGTCAGTGATTCATGCCAGTGCTATTTTTATAATCTTTTAACCATTGATGGGTTTGCATTGGGTGGATATTTATGCAGGAGCTGATGATTATCTACATGGAAAAACAGAGGGAGGATACAACATTTCCTGGTAGAATACTAATTACTTTTTTCCACCAGAGAAGCTTTGTTTTTTTCTGTTATGTTTCACATAGGAAAATCCTCTGCAGCACACAGACCCCTAACAACACACTTTGTGTAAATTATAAAGGGTTTGTAACTAACCTCCTAAACTAGAGTTAAAGATGAAGGATGATAATATACCTGCCATAAACCGATTAGCAGTTAGAATCAGCCTCCTGAGCCAATGAAAAAGGAGTTATCCTGAATAATTACACCATGATTGCTAATCATGGTCGATTAACCTTGGTTTTAAAACAGCTGAACTACTTTCCTATAGGACAGTAGATCCATTTTTAATCTTGATACCAAATTCTATAACTAAGACACCACATTGATGGGATTCTACCTATACTCAGAATACATTGGCTGCTTAATGATAAGACCTGCTTTAAAAAGACATTAAACTGCTATTTTCCTTTCATTAACCTAGAGGTTAAACTGACTGAAAAATAGAAAATTTCATAGCAACAACGGCCTCAAACGACATCTATCAAAAACCTTAACTCCTTATATGAAATCATACTCCAGTGTTTTGTAGTTTTACAGAAATGTAAATATAACTAAGAGTAATTTATACTAAGTGCCTTAAGTACAATAGCAAAAAGAAAAAAAAAAGGTTTAGTGCATGTCAGGAATGCTGTGCTAAAAGAACAACCCTTTGTGAGCAGGAGACTTTTAGTAAAAGGTGTAAGATCACTCTGCCGTGTTTCACCTGAGCCGTCTCAGCTTGTGTGGACAGCAGCAACCACAGGCAGGAGGCCTGAGCTGCTGGGGGCACAAGAGAAGTCAGGGGAAAACAAGCTCTCCTCTCTTCTCTCTGTTCAGTTTAAAGAATGAAGGAGGGAGGCGCTTTGGACTATGTGTGTGAGGGTGCAGAACGCTGCAAAAACGATCCAGTTCACTTTTTGGCTATGTCCCCTTTTTTCAGAATGAGCTGCCGCTGCCAGGGGGCCAGCTTGGTCTCATCGTAGCCCAGGGTCCGTAGTCGCTCCAGCTCCTGCTTCTCCTCTGTCTCCTTCGCCTGCTTGGCCTGCTGTTCTGCTTTTCTACATGCATCCAGAAAGAAAGGTCAACAATCTGTCATTAGTATACCACTGTCATTTTTCATTTAATGCAATGCAGTAACACATTACCTTATTGCTAACAACTACATGAGCTAAGCTTGATTTTTCAACGTTTTGCTGAAATAGTAAAAGTAAAGTTGTGGAAATGAGAACATTTGCCCCCTTACAGTTTAGAGGCTATGTCCAAGTCAAGACTTAATTATGACTATGATTGACTTCCTATGGCATGACCTTTAACAGACAGCATGCTTGCAAACCTTTAAATGCATATGATTTAAAACATGTAAAAGTTACATTACACTTTTTTGTAACGTCTGAATTAATTTCTTTTTAAAAAGCCTTTTGTATTTGTTCAGATTTACTTCAAATAATAAAATTTTTCGACCATCTTTAATAATTAAGTGTGACCAAAGATCTAAAATGTTTTTATGCATATTTATCTTAACTTTGGTTTCATATTTATGTATATATATATATATATATATATATATATATATATATATATATATATATATATATATATATATATATATATATATATATATATATATATATATATATATATATATATTTTTTTTTTTTTTTTTTTGAATTTGCAGATGTATTTCCTCTGATCAGATGTTGATTAGGTAGAGTTCAGAAGTCTGGTCACATTTCTGTCATGTTTTAACACGAGTTTTTAAGTGCTGAACAGATAGCTTACATATAGAATTAAATATTCATTCTGTGTTACTAGGATTTAAGTTAATGTATCTTTTATCTTCATGTGATCTTTAGGAGTTAAACTGCCTCCTGATCCAATGGATCAGACTTTCCCCTCTCTTACTTTATAGCTTATTTCAGTTCGATAATGTGTGTTTCCCTTACAGCACCATGTCCCTGATCTGCTTGGTTTTAGATTTATCTGAGATCTGACTTATTCCAGAGGGTGTTTTTTAAAACTAATTATTTAGCTCTTTGATTTTGCTCTCTGAGTGCATAGTTCTGTTTTTAGATCATTCCTAATATTTGCTGCCATTCTGCATATTTCAGTTTTCATAATTCCATGATCCTTGATCTTTTATTATAGTAATCAGTCCACCAACAAGTTATGCTTCCTGTTGTCAGTTTTTCCAGAGTCTCCTGCTGCTCTTTGTATCCCTGCATTTGCTGTTCCTCTTTCTCCCCAGTCTTCCTCTTTCTGTTTTTATTTTCTAAACTAATCTAAGTCTGAAATATATGTATATCTCCATATGATTGTTCTGATCCCCTCTCTTGATCCATCACAGCAATATTATGTGTGAAACTCCTCCTGATAGATTACGTTCAAGAAGAATAAAAAAAATCTTCCACACATGATGAGTCATGTTTTTAAGCAAATAATAAAAAAATATATAAAAATAAACTTACCGAAGACCTGAGAGATTATTATTCCTTGTCTTGGTGTTTTTAACTTCATAGCTCTTGTGTGGGGGCTAACACATTGTTGTGTTTATAGAAATAAGGAACTGATCTCATCTTTGTCACAGATTAGTTGCAGAAAGTGCATAAAATTCCATAGTTTGTTTTGAGGACACATGTACATATGTTATAGAAGAATAAAGTGGTTTCAAAAAACATTTCGGTAGTAATATTCAGCCATTTGACTGAAAATGAGTAAGAATCCAGCTAAAGTAAACCTTAAGGTAAGATGAAGCCTGGCTCCTTGGATGCAAATAACTTGGAAATCAGGGATGACTCAAGACCTTTGCAAAGCAGTAGATTACCTTTCCTTTTTTGCCATAAGAGGGAATAGACTTGAAGGCAATTAATTGGGCAGAGCAAATGCTTGGGTACGTTAATGAGCTGAGGTCAAATAACTTTACAGGAAAACTACTAAAATACTGATTCATTTTAAGTCACTTATACAAGGTTACATAAAACAAATGCTGAATTTGCAGCTAAAAACATTTAAATCCTACAATCATGTATAGTGTGAGTACAGCAAGCAAAGATCACACAAGGAGGAAATTGCATTACTTTGGTTTTTATTCAGCTTTTGCAAATTTCACTTGATGGTGAACCGCAAAAACAGATCCTTCAATAATCCAGACATATCCCCACGGAATACTGGATGAATTGCACAGTTGTATTTCTCCTTAAATCTAATTTATTGCCTTTACCCAAATTTGCTAAAAAAAATATGATCATATAAAAAATCTAGGTTGAATTGTAAAATCTCTAGTTGTAAAGCAAAATGGAAAATCTTACCTTTTTTGTTCCCTGTCACATCAGGAGACACACAAGAAAAAAGGTGTAAATATCATGAAACAGTAAACAGATGTTGTACAAGTTACAGTAATAATGTCATGCAGAGACAAACCGACTTCTTGGTGCTGTGGTCTCTGTTTTTTAAATAATTCTTAAAAACATTAAGATCTTGGACTGGATCTTTGAATAAGGTACAGGCACTTTTCAATGTCACTACCAAATGTCTCCTATTGGGGGCCCTGAACGTATGAATAAGGGAAATAGGACTGAAATGAGAATGGTAAATATGGACTTTTATCATTTGATGGCATAAAAAAAAAAATTAATTTAAAATCCCAGGATTGTCAAGAAGTTATTTTACTTGAACATAATCTCTGTTCAAGTAAGTACATTCGTTGAAACTATTCATATTACATGCCATATATTGTGAAATGTGATCTATTCTGTAATTTATATCTTAAGAACCCAAGTTATATTTTTCATAATTTTCAGTGATTCACATTAACAAATGAGCAAACACAATACAAATCTTCCATTTTAACAAAATAGCAAGAAAAATGATTGTGCAAAGTATAAAAAAATGACAATACTTTAAAATTGGTTTCTTTACTTTGATGTTCCCCATAGATATTCTGACAATTATCCACATTTTGGGCCTCTTTATACACATAGCAATGACTGTGAACCCCCCCCCCCCCTTAGTGCCTCACAACCTCTAAAGGGATACCGAACCCCACTTTGGAAATCCCTGTTTTAAGAGATTCTCAATAACATTACAAAAAAATTGAAACTTTAATAAAGACATAAAAACAACTGCCCTGTTACTCACCTCTCCTCATCTATTTTCTTCTTCATCATATCCCTCCTCCAGGCCGGCATTGAAGCCAACCGCTTCGCTTCCTCTTCAGCCTGTGAGGAAACAGAGAGGGTCCAAAAATGGGGGCAAAAATGGGGACCCAAAAAGGTCAGTTAAGGCATTTAGAATCTAACTGTATACCTCATACCTTGAAGTATTTATAACGCTCAATACATTTTCAGCCATGCTGACTATGTGCCCAGGAAAATCTCCAAATCCATCTGAGATTCATCCATTTAAAATGCAAAACTTTCTCACAGTATGCAAAAGATTATTAAATTTTCATATTTTTGGCTATAGTTGAAAATAATAAGAAACATATCTCAAATCTCTGCATTAAACACTATAAGATCTTATCTTTCAGAAACAACTGTTTTAAAATTCAGAATAAATAGTCAAACTCTTGCAGTCAGTCAGTGGTGACACTAAAATGTGCTGTGCTGCTATATTTACAGGTTAATCCCTGCTCTTTGCTGAAAGAGCATGCATACACCTGCAGGCAAAAAGCTGTGATGAAACATGAATCCAATCTCTGTGTCTATTCATATTCCCAGGTATAATTTGCTAAACAAAGAGCCTGTATAATAGCCAAACTCTCAACAGCCGACCCTCTTTAAACAGTTGGATAAATTTAAAGAAGCAAACAAATCTCACAATCTATTGTCTTTTTTTTTTTGTTAGGAACAAGCTACAGGCTTTTAAAGCATCAGGTGAGTGTTTTAGAGAATGTTTAAATTGTGCAGCTATTGTAACTTGATCCTTTTTTTCTATTCCGTGTCTGTAACAGGATGGAACAGGAGGAGAGAAGAGGGCAGCAGTGTTAGATTTCTCATCTTTGCATCAGATAAGTTATCCCTTTCTTTCCCACTTCTTCTACACAAAGATTTCACTAAACCATTTGTGAATTCATGTAAGATGATCTATTTTATACATTTTTAATGATTCCCCAGGGAAATTCAGTCCAAGAAAAAAAAAAAGGACTTGGTACAAATGATCAAACTGAAATCAAATACTCACAAGGGAAATTTGTTAAGACTGAACTAAGGAGGTTCACTAACTCTTTCATGCAAAAGACTGTCTATAAGTGCTACTTAAAGTACTAAAGTCATATTTAAAAAATCAAAATAAGGATTCTGATGAAGGTCATTTATCATATTATAAGTAGAATAGTAGCTAATAAACATGTTTTCTATGAACTTCCTATTCCTGGTGTAATATTCTAATCCTTTATTCCATGTTTTTATTAGATCTGAACGTCAAAATCATTATGATTTTTAGAAATAAATGCTTAAAAAACACTTAGTGCTCTCTAATTAATCTATATAATCCATTTCAGCTAATTAACTTACTAAAATAAATAACGTTTTTCAGTAATGTCATTTATTGAATGCGTCTGCATGCACAGAAAATCATTCCAACTAATATTTTACAAAGAAAATACAAAATGTTTGGTCATGTTAATATGTCCTTTGGTCATTAAAGGTCAAATTTAAAGGGTTTGAGTCGAAGATTTTTATATCAGGATGTAACTTTTCCTTAGTGTCCACAAGGTTTCTTTTTGGGACCTCTTTTATACGATTTTTACAAACTGAGATTAAAACAGACAACAGGATATATTCCCATTACTACAGTATGCAGACGACACATACTTTTTTATACATTACAATTTCAAAAGGTGACTATGAACCCATTTAACCATTCTATTCTGTTAAAAAAAAAAAAAAAAAAAAAAAAAAAACTAAGGTCATTCTATTCTGACCAAAAGTAAAGCTATCACAGACTAGCACACAGCTTTAGTAGTTATTACAGTAAGAAACTACTGTTCAGGCTCAAAACCTGGGTCTAGTGATGAACCTTATTCACATAAAGACAATGTTTAATCAGGAATAAAGGACTTATGTTTTTCCTGAAAAACTCATCCATGTTTATCTTTAGTTGATTTGATTACTGCGATGATGGCTTCACAGTCGTCAAAGTCAAGCAGGCAGCTACAGTTGATCCAGACCACAGTTAGCTTTCCCCACTAAAACTAAGAAAGTAGACTGCATCGCCCAAATTCTTAAACCCACAACTGGCTCCTGGTTTCTCAGAAATAGCCTTTAAAATAATAATAATGTTAGATCATAAAATACAGAATGGCTTAGAAACAAGATTCATTAAACACGTCACTATTACTTTCCCCGACTACTCAGGCCTTGTGGTTAAACTCTACTTTGCATCCCCAGAATCAGATTCAAATATGAAGAAACAACATTCAGGTCTTCTGCTGAACTGATCTTAAACAACCTCCTAAAACACTACCAACATGCTGAAACCAATTCATTTTAGAGTTGCCTTTGATCGTAAGATTTAAAATGTAAAGTGGAAAAACATACATTTTAATCAGTTGCCCTTTTTTTTATTTTTTATTTAACCTTCCTTTATCATGCCACTGTGACGTAATTTTTTTTGGGGGCTTTCTTCTCTTCTGTTTTCATCATGTAAAACACTTTGATTTGCCTTGGTACTGAAATGTTTTATACAAACAAACGTCCCTTGTTTAAACCACATATTATCTTGGGGTTACAGAAAAGGGCATGATATTTTAAAATGTTTAACAAGTCTGTATTGGTCTCTGGCACCGATTTGTGATTTTTTATTTTAATCGCAATGAAACTAATTAACCTAGCTAGCATCTGGTACAAAAATCTAAAAAATCTATTTATAGTAGGAAAACATCCCACTTTAAAAACTAAACATTTATTTTTTACTTATTTATATTTTACTACAAAGGAAACAGTCTTACAAAAAACAGGTTCACATGATCATGTTTTCCCCTGACTACTGGCTTATTTCATTCATGTCCAATTAGGTAGTAGGGGAGTAATCTTTTTTTGCTAAGGCACTTAAAACATTTACACCAATTGTATTCCCTTATTTGAATGAATGACATTCCCAAAGACAAAAATAAATAAACAAAATAAAGTTTTATTGTATTTGACAAACAACTATTTACTAAAACCTGTCTTATACTTGGTGGTAGACACCATCTTTGGACCCAATTTTTAGTCTGTGCTGCTGGACTTTTTTGTCCTTACAGTTGAAAAGTTTAAGTTATTCCTTGGTAGATAATTGTATTAAGCCTAACATTTTGTTTTAGGTGTTACTTATTTTTCAAAGCAATTTCCTTTTATTGTCAAACATCATTGTGTTAAAATGAGGTGCACACAGGACTGATCCATTCATTGATTTAAACCTAACTCCAGTACAAAGCACTTGAAAACAAGCTACCGGTACTCTTATTTTGGGAAATGATCTCTGAGTTAGATTTCTTTTCTTCTTCTCCTTCATCCTTTTCAGAATCGTGTATTTATCAACAGATTTTGTTGCTAAATAGGATAAAATCATCATTATTTGACAAGAAAAAGTACATTTAGCTTTTTAACTGTAGTCTGAAAAAAATCACAGTCCCCGCTTGACTCACAATGACTAGCCGAGGGACAATTTGGAAGTGTGCGCACAAAAGCAAGCTTGAAGCCACCTTTCATGGAAACTCCATTAAAGAAGCCTGAAAACACCAGTGGATTCATTGGGATAAAGATTTATGGCTTGATTCTTGTGTCAGCATGGTGAGATGCAACCAGAGAACATTTGTACATTGTCAGTCGGGGAAATCTCATGATCCATTGTTCAATATAGGAAGCACCCATTCTTTATGCAGCACAGAAAACCTTCCCAAGACATTACAGAGACCACCTACAGTCTGCCTTTTTATTGTTGAGGTTGGTGTGAAGGTGACCTAAAAAGATCATCCAATGAGTTTAAAAAGACAGAAGAAACGATGTAGACATATACAGAAAATTATAATTTAGTCTGATGCTTGGATTGAAATATAGGAGAAATTCTGATATTTTCAGATTTTTTCCACTGCTCTGTAGATTAAATATGCTTTAATTCTTTGCTCTTTTATGATCAATCCAAAATGTTAACCTATTATCAGTACTCCCTAGCACTTTAGAAAATTGGTATAGACTATTACCAGCAAATACTATAGAAGGTGTTTTTATTATTTTATTCAATCAGAACATGTAAGTCTTAAAATAAACAGCTTTTAGCGTACCAACTAAATGACTTTCGTTTGAGCTGTGAGGTGATGAAGATTCACAGTAACCTCCTTATGACTCCTGTAAGCCATCGATAGGATGACAGCAGGTGGCACTAAGAGGGTTACATGAAGGTAATCTTGATGCCACAGAATAGACACTATAAGAATAGTGTGTTTCACCAAAGCCACTGGCAGATCATGGGAGGATTTCACACTGAAGAATTGAGTGTCTAAAAGGGGCTGTGTCACAGGAAGAACAGTAGATCTGTGAGGACATTTATATATTTATATATTTTATCCTTCCAATATCATTATGCCTTGTAGTAAGTGTTTTAAAGAACAATCTGGATTGTTTGCAAAATAATTTCTATAAATGTTGTTTCTGTAATGTAGGAACCAAGCACTCACAACAACAGAATGCAAAACAAAACCAAAAATCAAGGTTTTAAGAATACCTTTAAATGTTAATTTCTTATATTAGCTGACAGAAATGTATCATTGTTATATTTCAACGAACATTTTCCTTACTTTTATGTAATCTAACACTAAAGAACCCGTATGCGCACAGTGATGTGAAACAGATGGAATTTACAAACCACATTGTACACACAAACTTTGACTGGTAGCTTTAAGTAGCCATTATTTTTGGGCATATTTTGTGACACATAAAAACAAACCATTAACTAAATCTTAGGGTTTTACAATGGAGCTTAAAAAAAGACAACCACAAAAAATAAAAATAAAATAAATTATGAATTTTATACAATGCTCTATTAAACAGATTTTACATTTCTGCAGCCAGATCTTGCTCTTGATTTATTGCAGTGTTCAGTTTATTTAGCAAGGTTGACACTAGACCTGGGAATTATGTTACGTTAAATATGCTTGCATCCCAGTAATAAGTCAGAAAAAGTGTTTTTCTTAATTTAATGATTTCAAAAAAAAAAAAAAACATGCCGAAAATGCAGG